GAAGGACAGTTCTCTTGCATTACCAATGGCCCTCAGTGACCCTGCATCACTTCTTAGTAGCCCTAGCGTAGCCAGGTTGTTTTCATAAGCTTGCCCATAATTCGTCTGCAGTTTGTATTTTCCCTTCATATTCCAAATGGATGCTTTATTTGAGATTCCTGCATTGCAAGGGGTTGGACAATAACTCTATGAATCAAAACCCTCTCATTTATTATTTTCTTGGGGTTGGGGGGGTTCCCCTCTCAAATTCATAGAACACCTATATTGCCGCTAGAAGAAGTTGTTCAAGCACATGTCAGCAGGATTGCTGCTCTGGAGGGACAGGCTCATCGGACTTCCTTGAGTGGGAGTTGACCTCCTGAGGGTGACATGAACATGTTCCTCATCAACAGCACCTGGAAGAGCTACCCAAAGGTAGATGTTGGTCTATGTCCCACCGTCTCCGCCCTGGCACACCACCTAAGGATACCAGCTGCTACAGCATCTCGCTAGGCTGGCTAAGCAATGGACATTATGTTTATTTCAATGAACTGAATAGAGTGAAAGATTATGAGTCATGGGGGCATGGAGAGTGCTTGTATTAACAGCGCTTGGTTTATTTTTTTAGTTGCTAATACTGTTTTATAGATTATAAATGCTTTGTTAATCATATAATATAACTTTTGCTGTAATTGTAATGTTTAGCATATTTTTGTTGCCGCTTTGTTAATACACTGGTACCTCAGGTTACAAACACTTTGGGTTACAAACTCCACTAACCTGGAAGTAGTACCTTGGGTTGAGAACTTAGCCCCAGGATGAGAATGGAAATCGCGCACCAGCGGGAAAGCGCGCCTCAGGTACCACTGTTGTGTTTTCTAGGCTGTAATTGTTTTTACTGATGATTTGTTAGGATGAAAGAGCTGCTCAATGCCCCAATGCTGGGTCTGAATACAAAACACTCTGAAAACCTGGGGAACCTACAGCCCAGCCCTCCTACAAACCCAAAGGAGCAGCAATCTTATCTCTCTCTTTTTTTAAAAATAATATTTATTAAAATTTCACAAGAAAAAAAACAACCACATTATTGAAGAAAAAATTAACAATAAAAAGAAAAAATACAAAGTAAAAAAGGAAAAAACAATTAAAAACAATTTCATCTTTTCCTCACTTCTTTTACATTTACTTGTTTCTCGGACCTCCTCTTACCTCCCTCTTTTGTATTCTAATTAAATATGTTAGTCCAACAGTTCCTTTCCCTCCTTTTTAATCCTAATCTTTAATCTTGATATGATATAGCTTTAAATTTTAGATTTTACATATTAAAACCAATTTTTCCATATTCTTTTAGCCTGTACAGCTAGAAACCCCTTAACTTCAATCCAACATCATTCTAACATTCATTAATTTTACAGTATTTCTGTAAATAGTCTTTGAATTTCTTCCAATCTTCTTCCACCGACTCTTCTCCCTGGTCACGGATTCTGCCAGTCATTTCCGCCAATTCCATGTATTCCATCATTTTCATCTGCCATTCCTCCAGTGTGGGTAGATCTTGTGTCTTCCAATACTTTGCAATGAGTATTCTTGCTGCTGTTGTAGCATACATAAAGAAAGTTCTGTCCTTTTTTTAACACTGATTGGCCGACTATGCCCAGGAGAAAGGCCTCTGGTTTCTTCAAGAAGGTATATTTAAATACCCTTTTTAGTTCATTATAAATCATCTCCCAGAAAGCCTTAATCTTTGGGCACGTCCACCAAAGGTGAAAAAATGTACCTTCAGTTTCTTTACATTTCCAGCATTTATTATCAGGCAAATGGTAGATTTTTGCAAGCTTGACTGGGGTTATGTGCCACCTGTATATCATTTTCATAATATTCTCTCTTAAGGCATTACATGCCGTAAATTTCATACCTGTGGTCCACAACTGTTCCCAGTCAGCAAACATAATATTATGTCCAACGTCTTGTGCCCATTTAATCATAGCAGATTTCACCGTTTCATCCTGAGTATTCCATTTCAACAGCAAGTTATACATCTTTGACAAAGTTTTAGTTTTGGGTTCTAACAATTCAGTTTCTAATTTTGATTTTTCCACCTGGAAGCCGATTTTCTTATCCAAATTGTATGCCTCCATTATCTGATAATAATGAAGCCAGTCTCGCACTTTCATAGAATCATAGAATCATAGAATCATAGAATCATAGAATCCTAGAATCCTAGAATCCTAGAATCCTAGAGTTGGAAGAGACCACAAGGGCCATCGAGCCCAACCCCCTGCCAAGCAGGAAACACCATCAGAGCACTCCTGACATATGGTTGTCAAGCCTCTGCTTAAAGACCTCCAAAGAAGGAGACTCCACCACACTCCTTGGCAGCAAATTCCACTGTCAAACAGCTCTTACTGTCAGGAAGTTCTTCCTAATGTTTAGGTGGAATCTTCTTTCTTGTAGTTTGGATCCATTGCTCCGTGTCCGCTTCTCTGGAGCAGCAGAAAACAACCTTTCTCCCTCCTCTATGTGACATCCTTTTATATATTTGAACATGGCTATCATATCACCCCTTAACCTCCTCTTCTCCAGGCTAAACATGCCCAGCTCCCTTAGCCGTTCCTCATAAGGCATCGTTTCCAGGCGTTTGACCATTTTGGTTGCCCTTCTCTGGACCCGTTCCAGTTTGTCAGTGTCCTTCTTGAACTGTGGTGCCCAGAATTGGACACAGTACTCCAGGTGAGCTCTGACCAGACAGAATACAGTTGCACTATTACTTCCCTTGATCTAGATGCTATACTCCTATTGATGCAGCCCAGAATTGCATTGGCTTTTTTAGCTGCTGCGTCACACTGTTGGCTCATGTCAAGTTTGTGGTCAACCAAGACTCCTAGATCCTTTTCACATGTACTGCTCTCAAGCCAGGTGTCCCCCATCTTGTATTTGTGCCTCTCATTTTTTTGCCCAAGTGCAATACTTTACATTTCTCCCTGTTAAAATTCATCTTGTTTGTTTTGGCCCAGTTCTCTAATCTGTCAAGGTCGTTTTGAAGTGTGATCCTGTCCTCTGGGGTGTTAGCCACCCCTCCCAGTTTGGTGTCATCTGCAAATTTGATCAGGATGCCCTTGAGTCCATCATCCAAGTCGTTGATAAAGATGTTGAATAAGACCGGGCCCAAGACAGAACCCTGTGGCACCCCACTAGTCACTCTTCTCCAGGATGAAGAGGAACCATTGATGAGCACCCTTTGGGTTCGGTCAGTCAGCCAGTTACAAATCCACTGAGTGGTAGCATAGTCAAGACCGCATTTTACCAGCTTCTTTACAAGAATATCATGAGGCACCTTGTCAAATGCCTTGCTGAAATCAAGGTAGGCTACATCCACTGCGTTCCCTTCATCCACCAGGCTTGTAATTCTGTCAAAAATCGAGATCAGGTTAGTCTGACATGACTTATTTTTCAGAAATCCATGCTGACTATTGGAGATCACAGCATTCCTTTCTAGGTGCTCACAGACTGTTTGCTTAATGATCTGCTCCAGAATCTTCCCTTGTATTGATGTCAGACTGACTGGGCGGTAATTATTTGGGTCCTCTCTTTTCCCCTTTTTGAAAATAGGGACAACATTTGCCCTCCTCCAGTCTGCCGGGACTTCGCCTGTTCTCCAGGAATTCTCAAAGATGACTGCCAGTGGTTCTGAGATCACATCTGCCAGTTCTTTTAATACTCTTGGATGCAGTTCATCTGGCCCTGGAGACTTGAATACATCTAGACTAGCCAAGTATTCTTGTACTATCTTGTACACTTTGTTTTTTAATTTTTCAAAACTCTGCAATTTCAATCTGTCTCCATCTTGTTCCAAAATTTCCCAATATTTCGGCCAGTTGACCTCCATATTGAGCTTTTTCAAGGCTTTCGCTTCCATCGGTGACAGCCACCTTGGAGTTTTATTTTCCAATAAATCCTTGTATCTTATCCAAACATTAAACAGTGCTTTCCTGACAATATGTTTTTAAATGCTTTATGTGCTTTGACCTTGTCATACCACAGATATGCATGCCATCCAAATACATTGTTAAAACCTTCTAAATCCAAAATGTCAGTGTTTTCAAGAAGCAGCCATTCTTTCAACCAGCAGAAAGCTGCTGATTCATAGCAAAGTTTAAGGTCTGGCAGGGCAAATCCACCTCTTTCCTTTGCATCTGTTAGTATTTTAAATTTTATTCTGGGCTTCTTGCCCTGCCAGACAAATCTAGAAATATCTCTCTGCCACCTCTTGAAACAGTCCATTTTGTCCACAATTTGCAATGTTTGAAACAAAAACAGCATTCTAGGCAATACATTCATTTTTATCGCAGCAATATGGCCTAGCAGTGAAAGCTTCAAATTTGACCAAATTTCTAAATCTTTTTTCACTTCAGCCCAGCATTTTTCATAATTGTCTTTATATAAATTCCCATTTTTTGCTGTCAAGTTAATCCCCAAATATTTAACTTTCTTAACCACTGTTAAACCTGTCTCATTCTGAAACCTCTCTCTCTCTATTGGTGTTAAATTTTTCTCTAAAACCTTGGTTTTTAACGTATTCAGTTTAAATCCTGCGACTTGACCAAATTCTTGAATCAATTCTAAAACCCTTTTGGTACTAGATTCTGGCTCCTGTGACGTCAATACTAAGTCATCTGCAAATGCTCTCAATTTATATTGTTTGGCTCCGACCTGTATACCTTTAACCAACTGATCCCTTCTAATCATGTTCAGCAGAACCTCCAGGACCGAAATAAAAAGCAATGGGGAAATTGGGCAACCTTGTCGTGTCCCTTTTTCTATCTTAAATTCTTCCGTCACCACATTATTTACAATTAATTTAGCTTTTTGTTCTGGAGCAGCAATCTTATCTCCTTCAGAAATGTTACTAAAAATAGCCTAACTGTATGGACAGGAGTCAATGTGAAAGCTGTGCAAACATTCTTTCTTCTCTTCTCTCCATTCTGGGAGATTAGACGACTTCCAGGTGCACACAGGACTCCGCATTCTCAGTGAGGCCAGTTTGAGAGAAGAGAACATGCTGTGGCTGGGTTGCAGTTTACTGCTGGCGGCTCTTGCAGGTACAACCCCCCCCCCCCAAATCTGGACAGTTTATCTGCCCAAGAATAGTCATGAAATGTTGGGTGAGGATGAACAAAACTGCAGTACAGAAGCTGGAATGCAAATCCACGGCCATCAATCCAGAAGAGGGCTAAGATTTCAGTGTGCAAGTAGAGGTGTCCTGGCAACAGAGGAGGGGAAGGAGAACCAGGCAGTTAAGCCAGGAAACAGAAATGCAGACGGGCTATCACCATTGTCAGTCATACTCAGATTTAACCCACTGATATTAATGGGCATGCCTACCTTAAGTCCACTGATTTCAGTGGGACTACTCTGAGTATTACTTAGTTGGATACAACCCAAAAACCCACTCTCTACACTGACCATTCAGACTATTCACCCAGTCCCACTTTATTAAAAAATCTCAGTGGTGTTAGACTTACCATAGCAGCATTTGGTCAGTCTGTGCTGTCCATCACTGAATTTGTTCTGTAACGGTGTGTGAAACTGACATATCCCTGCAGATGAAGGTGATGGACTATATGGAATTGGCAGAAATGACTGGCAGAATCCGAGACCAGGGGGAAGAGTCGGTGGAAGAAGATTGGAAGCAATTTAAAGACTATTTACAGAAATATTGTAAAATTAATGAATGATAGAATGATGTTGGATAGTAATTAAGCGGTTTCTAGCTGTAATGCTTTAAGAGAATATGAAAAAAGGGTTATAAATGGGTTAAAATCTAATGGTAAGGATTTGCTGAACCAATAAATTGAAGTGGAATACAAAAAAGGGAGGTACGAGGAGGTCCGGGAAACAAGCTAAAGGAAAATAAGTAACTGAAAATATGTGTCTTTTTAACTGTTTTTATTTTGTATTTTTCTCTTTTCTTTTTCATTTTTACTGTAATATATCAAAAAACCTTAATAAATATCTTATATATATAAAAAAGAAACTGACATATCCCTAAGCAACTTGGTCCCAAAGTGCCATGAGACCCCAAAGTACTTACTTTCCAACTTGACCACCAAGATCTGTTGATGGGGCACTTCTGTTGGTCTCCCCACCCCAATGAACCCTGAGGTTTAGCTGGACGTCATTAGGGATTGAGCCTTTGGTGTGGCAGCCACTGCCCTGTGGAACTCTCTGCCACCAAGAGCCATCCCTCCCTTCAGACATCTTTTGAAAACTTTAATGTTTAGAGAAGCCTTTGTAACATGAATCTTCTTTCATAGTATTGTAGAGTTGGAAGGGACCCCTAGGGTCATCTAGTTCAATCCCCTGCCATGCAGGAATCTCAACTCTGTTAACTAATTAGTATTTATTGGCATTTTAATGATGTTTTCATGCTGATTTTATTCTCATATATAATAATAGACATATACAGTACGTATACCGTATTTTTCGCTCTATAAGACGCACCAGACCACAAGACGCACCTAGTTTTTGGAGGAGGAAAACAAGAAAAAAATTATTCTGCATCTCAGAAGCCAGAACAGCAAGAGGGATCGCTGCCCTCTTGCTGTTCTGGCTTCTGGGATAGCTGAGCAGCCTGCATTCGCTCTATAAGACGCACACACATTTCCCCTTACTTTTTAGGAGGGAAAAAGTGAGTCTTATAGAGCAAAAAATACGGTATATGGTTGTAAGAAAATTAATTAACAGCTCATATCAGAATAATCAAAAGCAGTCAATTATTTGGGCTGATTGTACAAAGAGGAAATGTCACTATTACATGGGGCAAACCAGCAGTGTACTATATAGTTACTTGTTATAGTTACTGTTTTGGAATAGTCTACAATAATACATTATGATCTTTCCTGTGGTTTAAAACTGTGGCTTTTATTTTAGCAGTATGAGTGATGGTATGTAGAACTCTGGCAGAAATTAATCAGGAACAGTTGCCAGCCACACTTGCAATATGAGACCAATAATTCAAAGGATTCCTATGCAGGGAGATGGAGGTGGAAAGCAGGATATGGTGGCAAAAAGTTGAGCCTTTGTTTACTAGCAGGAAGAGATTGCATGCAGCGCCCTCATCTAGCTACCGTAGTCTGGCTGACAGATGTCATGGGATAGGCTGGATACCATTTCCTGAGTTCATGAGGCCACATTGCATTTTAGCATGTTCCTAACCATTGAAGAAGTCTTGATTTTTTCCTCTACCAATTATATTGGTAGCTGTTGCAGCTGCTGAGAAGTTGGTTGGGAGTGCCAAGTGCCAACAAGATTCTGTGCCATGGGAAGTCTCCCTCCAGTCAGTGCACCATGTCTGCAGTGGGGCCCTCATCAGCCAAGAATGGGTGTTGTCCTCAGCTCAGTGCAGTAGGAGGTGGGTATAAGCCTGCTTCACACCCTTTGCACACAACCTGTCTCCCACAGGGAATAAAGTCCATTCTCTGCTGTTGGCTGCTCTGTTCTCATTTGAAATAGGAGGGCAACTTGTGCATTTGCCTGCCTGCCTACAAGAATCCTTGAGGGTGAGCAAGGAATCTTTCAACCCAGGCTGAGGCAGAAAAACTCTAGGGAGAACACTATTGACCCACCTGCTCTTCTTCCAGCAGCCCAGACCACATGGAGGTCTGGCTTGGCCTACAAGTCCCTGAGACTCTTCCTAAGGAGAAGCAGCAGGTCATTGCTGCTGCCAAGCTGGTCCCTCATAAGCAGTTCAACAACTACACACTGGACTATGACATCATGCTCATCAAGCTTGCACAACCAGCTGTCCTGGGTGAGCTAGTGCAGCCCATCAGTTTGCCCAGCCAATGTGCCATAGCTGGGACCCAGTGCCTGGCTTCAGAATGGATCAGCAGCAACTGTGAGTACAGAGAGGGTGGTGCTGAGAGACTAACCAGGACCAGCAACAACTGTGACAGACTGGAGCAGGGGGCTGCTGGAAGATGCCCCTCTTCGTGGCCGTGGGGGATTATGGTGGGGACATGCAAGGGGGCACTGAAGTTCCTTAGTGATGCATGGGATAAATGACACCATGCAAAAAAGGGAAGGGTAGATGAACGGCAAATGGTGGGAGGGAGGCACCAACAATTCATTGTACTATGATAGATTCATGGCACGTGGCAGTGCCCCCTTGAAGCAGAAAGAGCTCAAGGAGAGAGGGGTGAGGCCTGAGCATAAGAGTCTCCCTCCTGCCTTGCCCCAGGCAGCTGCTCAGGATCAACATATTTTCGGCTTACAGCTGATGGAACAGACAACCTTCTGCAGTGCTCCTACCTTCCAGTCACATCTGATGCCACTTGCAACAATGTCTACCCAGGACGATTCACTGACAGGATGCTTTGTGCTGGACAGCTGGACAGCAGCCAAGATGTCTGCAAGGTGAGGCTCTTCTCTTTTTACTGGCAAGTCCAGTGATTGGGGTGGGGGGGTGGGGAGCAAACAAACAAACAGAGGCATACCTTGACTCCCTTGTGATCTTGGCCAGTACATCTGAAGCTGGGAGAGACCATGGACCAGAAACTCCAAAAGTTTGCTTTTTGTCACCTTTCATGCTCTGCCTGTGATTTTCTCCATGACCATCAGGACTGCTCTTCTTCCTCTCTCCCTCCCTCTCTTCCCGCAACTCTCACCTGCTGTCTCTATCTTTCTTCTATCCAAGCGCCACTTGGTGCTCCACTCACAGTTCCAATAGCACCACTGGCCAACCTGGGAGATGGTCCTGCAGGGCTGATGAGATGGGTGCCTAGAGGAGCCTACATGCCTTGCCTGGCCTCCCAGATGGGCATGTGTGCTCCTAGCCACTCCAAGCCATGGGTGAGAGGTGTGGTTTTGGTGGCCCCCGGAGCCTGCACTTTTTGGTGGGAGGTAAGGTTGTATAGGTGTCCCTGACTTTGAGTTCGGTAACATGGTCTAATTATGTGCATCCACACACACCATATAGATGAATGCTTCCCTTCAGACTAGAGCTGTCTCCAACCAAATCACTCACAAGCACAAGCACGCTCCATAGGCAGGCTAGTAGCTACTGGCCGAACATTAACCAGAACTAAACAACAAAGCATAATATATTTGAAAAGTACAATAAAAAGCCATGTGCCAAATCCTCCCCATATCAAAGTTAAATAGCATTTATGTCATTCCCACATTCTTGAGAGGGCCAGAGGGGCTGTAAGCGCAAGCACACACCCACCCCAACAGGAAGGGAAATTCTCCAGCTGCAAGAGCCAACCTCTTGGGACCACTCAGGAGGAACTTGTGGCTGGGGAAAGCCTCACACAGCTCCCTCTCTCCTGCTGCAGGCAGTGCTCCAGGGCCTGAGAGTTCAAATAACGACAGTGAGAAATTGCCATGATTTGATCCTGTCCCCTGGAGAGTCCCAAAGCTGTTGTCTATGTCTTAGGGAGATGTGGGCAGCCCCCTGGTGTGCGAAGAAGCCCTTCAAGGACTGCTGTCCTGGAAGAAAAGCTGCAGTGAAGAGAACCGGCTGGGGCTCTACACCAAGGTCTGCATCTTTGAAGACTGGATCCACTACACAATTGCCAACAACTGAAGAGCAATAAAGCCAGATTGAGCTCTGACCTGGTATCTCGCTGCTCTGAGAAAGACCCTGTGATCTGGCACCACCAGCAATGCAATGACGATACAGGCCTGGCTACTGTGGAAGAGAAGGCTTCTAGGAAGTCTACCCCCCAGTCTGCCCACCACCAGAGGGGTCATGGCTGAGGCAAGGGAGCAGAATCGAATGATTTGCTCCCTCACTCCTCAGCTTCCGGCACACCTCCTGGAATGGCTTGATTTCACATTATGGTAGATGTTGGTTAGGTTTTACCATGTAGGTGAGGGAATATGTTAACTATATTTTATCCTCCACAAACCCGGCCAACAGACAAAACATCAGCTTATCGCTTGTGTTTAGAAGCACAGTGCTGAGCATCTTAAACAGTAAAAACAAAAGCCTTCAGGCTGATCTCCCCCTTCTGTTACCCTGTTTATTATAGAAACAGGCCACTGACTGAAAAGTATGGTTAAAACATATAGTTTACTCACAGTCAAGCACCTGTCCTTAGCAACAACAGCAGTAAAAATAAATGCAGGTAAAATACTTGTATTTACAGTGAAAGCAGCCTCAGGCATGAGCCTGATGCTGGAGCAAGCAGATACAAGTCTTCTCCCATCGGCTGGTTGGAGAGAGAGAGAGAGAGAGAGAGAAAGAAAGAGAGAGAAGGAACAGAAAATACTTGTTTTCTTCTTCCCTACCAAGAGAGGAGGGGAAATGAAATAACACAGAGCCTTCTGTACCAATTGCATTGATCTGAGTCCACCTAACAGCAATACTGCTCTGTGATTTTAATCCCCACACTTGCTTACTAGTAAGAATATGCATTTTTAGATTTGATTTCTAAACTCTCACAATATTTACTCCATGGAGCAGTTTCATTAGCATCCCAGCCTTCCACGGCCTTCCATGGCCTAACACAGTTAAAGCTCCATGAAAGAACCTACCACACCAGCACCCACCTAGAGCTGGCTCTGAAGTCTGCTTGTTTGTGAAGTGAGGCACTTGGGGTGCTCAGAGGCCCGACCCCTCCAACGGATGTAAGTTGCAGAGCTGCTGATTTCCATACCCCCTAAGGTACCCATTTCACACACCCCTCTGCGATGTCACTGTTTCTGCCAAGAAAGTGCCTGGTAGGTTGAGGCACAACCTTTTCAGTTCTTTGCTCTTCATCCAAACTGGCTATCAGTTGTACTTAAGGAAGCCATCCAACAGTCCCTTGCCTGAGCTAAGCCAAGCCCCCTTGCCCACCTCACCAGCTTCTTACAGACATCTCAGTTCTGTTTTCCCATCATTGCCAACCACAGAGATGCCAACTGAGAGTGCCCACAAATGGCAAGTTTAGTTGAGTGTGCTCATACGCTATGTCACTGCACTGAATGGTGCCCAAAGCAGCCTGAAACAAACACCAACTGATTATCAAAACACAGCATCCTTGGAGGTGGCTACTGCTGCTGAAAGCTCTTAACTCTGTCCCTTGATAAAAACAGGGTTATGACAGGAGGGATGCATTCCATTGTCTCTGCAGGCAAGGGCAGAGGAAGGGAGTGCGGTGGGTGGGTGCCACCCTGGGCGTCACCACTGAGGAGGGTGACAAAATGCTGGGCGGCACTCACCACGGGGCCTGCAGCATGCCTAAGTCACCAGTGGTCAGGACCTCATTAGCAGGACCAGTGGTCAGGGATGATGGGCCTTGTATTCCCACAACATTGGGTGACCCAAGGTGGAGAAAGGCTGCTCTGCACTGACTGGCAACCACTCTCTATCTCACACGAAGAGAGATACCTGGGTGCATTGGGTTCGCTGATGTGTTTGGTGCAGAAGTTTCCCCTAGGCAGGTCGCTCTCCCTGTGGTCTTTAAGAACAGGCAAAAAAGTCCACTGCCAGTCCTTTGGCAAACACACAGGGCAGAAGTGAAACCAAGTGAATCATCTGAAGCAAACTTAACAATAATACAAGGCTATGGCTATATGCACACTAACTTGAAATGAATTTTGTTGAGATCAATGTGACATTTAGGAACCTGGGTGAAACTATCCTGAAACAGGCAAGTCAGCATAGAGGTCTTTTTTTTTTTGTCTTTTGTCTTTACATGGAATGGCTGCAGGTCTGTCCTCCACATTTTTCTGGAAGCAAGTCCCAAATTTATGGGTTCAGGGAAAGGCCCAAAGAAAAAATCTATGCCAATCTAGGCTATTTGCCACAGAAAGGCCTTCATTTGGCACCAACACCCAAGCTAAACACTCTGTCAGTTTGCCTCAGATTCTAGAGAATTGTAGGCTTCAGAGATCCTCAAGGGTCATCCAGCCCACCCCCTGCAATGCAGGAAGTACACTTTGATTGCAACTGACACTCGCTCACTGTTGCTCACGAGCACCAGAAGCAGGTGTTGTCCCCTTCCAACGAAAACCCAATCTGTTTTTGGAGATTTCCTGATCTGCACACACCTCCTCAGGTTGGGCAGGTGGCCATGTTTCCATTTCACTATTTCATGAAAAGTATGTGTTGCTTGATTGTAGAACAAAAAACCTCAAAGCAGTTTACAAAACCAGCAAAAGCACAGGCAAGCGCAGCACAACTGAATGGTGCGAGGCAGGTTAGGCTGGGAGGAAATAACTGGCTGCGGAGATTCTCAAGCCCGGAAGGAAGCTAGGCTGATCATGCTGATCATAACCAATTTTCTCCAGCACATACTTCACCCCTTCATAGTTCTCCTTCAGTGTACTCGAGTGAGCCAGGGGTTTTGATCCCCCAACTTTATGCTTTGCCGCACCAATTTATGGAAGATTTCGAGGTTTTACGGCTTCAAACTGATCCCTTTTCGACATAATCACCCAGAACTATCAAACCTGAATACTTCTTGTCATTAAAATAATTATTTCCAATCAAAACAATTATTCGGCATGGCATTTTACCCCCACCAACTTCTTCTAAAATGCTCCACACAAGCGTACATGTGAATAAAAATGTAAAAAAATGACATGTGGCCATAACTCAAAAACTTGACCTGACTGAGCAAAACCAATGTGATTTTTGGATTCAGCGCATCAGATTCGTCCTAAATCAGCTGAAAAAACGCAGACAACATATTTGTTGTTGACCAGTGTAATCAAGACCCTTGGAGGGCCATGGGTCGCTGTGGCACTACGCAGCATGGGCATCAAGCTCCGCCAACGCATGCCCCGCTGGGCCATCCAACAAAAGCGTACCTTGGGGTGGATGTTAAGGTTATGGCCATGATTTTGAGACTGTGCATAATCCACTGCCCAATGGACAATGCTGTGGCCTATAACCCAGATCTTCATGGGTTATACACCAAACCTAAGAGGAGGCGTGTAGTGGTGATAGGGGATTCCCTACTGAGGGGAACAGAAGCAGTGATCTGTGGGCCTGACAAGATGTCTCGGGAAGTGTGCTGTCTCCCCGGGGCTAAGATCCAAGATGTAACTGAACAACTGCAAGGAATCATAAAACCCACTGACAAATACCCCTTCCTCTTGGTTCATGTGGGAACCAATGACACTGCAAGCAATAGCCTCCAGAAGATCAAAAGAGACTACGAGGCTCTGGGCAGGAAATTGAAGCAATTAAATGCACAAATTGTCATCTCATCCGTCCTCCCAGTTGAACGACGTGGCCCAGGGAGAGAGGGGAAAATAGTGGAAGTGAACAGCTGGCTTCGCAAATGGTGTAAACAGGAACGGTTTGGGTTCTTAGATCACGGACTGCAGTTTCTTGAGAATGGACTTCTGGCAAGCGATGGGCTGCACCTCACAACGGTTGGCAGAAATGTTTTTGCCAAAATCTCAGAAACCTCATCAGGAGGGCTTTAAACTGACTAATGTGGGGAGGGAGACAGTGCTCCTGAAGGTAGGAGTCTATCAATTGATGAAGATGATCATCCAAATGTCATAGACCAAATGGAGCAAACAGCACGCAGACCTAGTGGTGGGAGGAAAAAATCCTTAAATAAGAGACACGGGGGAATGATTAATGGACTTCAGTGTCTGTACACTAATGTGCAAAGAATGGGAAATAAACAAGATGAGCTTGAGCTCTTGGTACAGCAAACTAAATATGACATAATAGGCATCACTGAAACCTGGTGGGATAAGTCCCACGATTGGAATGTAATAATGGAGGGATACAATCTATTTCAGAGAAACAGACCAGACAAGAAAGGAGGAGGAGTGGCGTTATATGTCAGGGATGTGTATATGAATTTTAACAGGGAGAAATGTAAAGTATTGCACTTGGGCAAAAAAAATGAGAGGCACAAATACAAGATGGGGGACACCTGGCTTGAGAGCAGTACATGTGAAAAGGATCTAGGAGTCTTGGTTGACCACAAACTTGACATGAGCCAACAGTGTGACGCGGCAGCTCAAAAAGCCAATGCAATTCTGGGCTGCATCAATAGGAGTATAGCATCTAGATCAAGGGAAGTAATAGTGCCACTGTATTCTGCTCTGGTCAGACCTCACCTGGAGTACTGTGTCCAGTTCTGGGCACCACAGTTCAAGAAGGACATTGACAAACTGGAACGTGTCCAGAGGAGGGCAACCAAAATGGTCAAAGGCCTGGAAACGATGCCTTATGAGGAACGGCTAAGGGAGCTGGGCATGTTTAGCCTGGAGAAGAGGAGGTTAAGGGGTGATATGATAGCCATGTTCAAATATAGAAAAGGATGTCACATAGAGGAGGGAGAAAGGTTGTTTTCTGCTGCTCCAGAGAAGCGGACACGGAGCAATGGATCCAAACTACAAGAAAGAAGATTCCACCTAAACATTAGGAAGAACTTCCTGACAGTAAGAGCTGTTTGACAGTGGAATTTGCTGCCAAGGAGTGTGGTGGAGTCTCCTTCTTTGGAGGTCTTTAAGCAGAGGCTTGACAACCATATGTCAGGAGTGCTCTGATGGTGTTTCCTGCTTGGCAGGGGGTTGGACTCGATGGCCCTTGTGGTCTCTTCCAACTCTATGATTCTATGATTCTATGATTCTATGATTCTACCTGTGAAGAGATCCAAGATTTAGAACCTCAAAGCCAAAGTGAGAGCATTTGGGTCAAAATTAAGGGAGAGAAGAATAACAGTGACCTCATTGTGGGAGTTTACTATAGATCCCCAAGCCAAACGGAGGACATAGATGATGCCTTCCTGGAACAGATGGCCAAGCATGCAAAAGGAGGGAGATAGTAGTAATGGGGGACTTCAATTACCCGGATATTTGTTGGATGTCAAACTCAGCCAAGAGCATAAGGTCAAACAGATTCCTCACTGGCCTTGCAGACAACTTCATTGTCCAGAAAGTGGGAGAAGCAACAAGAGGAACAGCCATTTTAGATCTGATCCTAACCAATGTTGATGACCTGGTTAGTGGGGTAGAAGTGGAAGGATCATTAGGCGCGAGTGATCATGCTCTTCTGAAGTTTACTATACAGCGGAAAGGAGCAGCCAAGCATACTAGGACTCAATTTCTTGACTTTAAGAAAGCCGACTTCATAAAACTTAGGGAAGTGCTGGGTGAGATCCCATGGACAGTAATACTAAAAGGAAAGGAAGTTCATGATGGCTGGGAGTTTGTTAAGAGGGAGATAGTAAAAGCACAACTTCAGGCAATACCAATGAGACGGAAGCATGGAAGGTGCCTAAAGAAGCCAGGGTGGCTATCTAAAGAACTTTTAACTGAGTTAAGATTTAAAAAGGATGTGTACAAAAAATGGAAAAGGGGGGAAACCACCAAAGAGGAATTCAAACAAATAGCCAGCACGTGTAGACACAAAGTCAGAAAAGCTAAAGCACAGAATGAACTCAGGCTTGCTAGAGAGGTTAAAAGCAACAAAAAGGCTTTTATGGGTATGTTCGTAGCAAAAGGAAGAACAAAGAAACAGTGGGGTCACTCAGAGGAGAAGATGGTGAAATGCAAACAGGGGACACAGAAAGGGCTGAACTCCGCAATGCCTTCTTTGCCTCAGTCTTCTCCGATAAAGAAAACAATGCCCGACCTGAAGAATTTGGAGCAAATGATTCAGTAGAGGAAACACAGCCCAGAATAACTAAGGAGATAGTACAAGAATACTTGGCTAGTTTAGATGTATTCAAGTCTCCAGGGCCAGATGAACTGCATCCAAGAGTATTAAAAGAACTGGCAGATGTGATCTCAGAACCACTGGCAGTCATCTTTGAGAATTCCTGGAGAACAGGCGAAGTCCCGGCAGACTGGAGGAGGGCAAATGTTGTCCCTATTTTCAAAAAGGGGAAAAGAGAGGACCCAAATAATTACCGCCCAGTCAGTCTGACATCAATACCAGGGAAGATTCTGGAGCAGATCATTAAGCAAACAGTCTGTGAGCACCTAGAAAGGAATGCTGTGATCACCAATAGTCAGCATGGATTTCTGAAAAATAAGTCATGTCAGACTAACCTGATCTCGTTTTTGACAGAATTACAAGCCTGGTAGATGAAGGGAACGCAGTGGATGTAGCCTACCTTGATTTCAGCAAGGCATTTGACAAGGTGCCCCATGATATTCTTGTAAAGAAGCTGGTAAAATGCGGTCTTGACTATGCTACCACTCAGTGGATTTGTAACTGGCTGACTGACCGAACCCAAAGGGTGCTCATCAATGGTTCCTCTTCATCCTGGAGAAGAGTGACTAGTGGGGTGCCACAGGATTCTGTCTTGGGCCCGGTCTTATTCAACATCTTTATCAACGACTTGGATGATGGACTCAAGGGCATCCTGATCAAATTTGCAGATGACACCAAACTGGGAGGGTGGCTAACACCCCAGAGGACAGGATCACACTTCAAAACGACCTTGACAGATTAGAGAACTAGGCCAAAACAAACAAGATGAACTTTAACAGGGAGAAATGTAAAGTATTGCACTTGGGCAAAAAAAATGAGAGGCACAAATACAAGATGGGGGACACCTGGCTTGAGAGCAGTACATGTGAAAAGGATCTAGGAGTCTTGGTTGACCATAAACTTGACATGAGCCAACAGTGTGACGCGGCAGCTAAAAAAGCCAATGCAACTCTGGGCTGCATCAATAGGAGTATAGCATCTAGATCAAGGGAAGTAATAGTGCCACTGTATTCTGCTCTGGTCAGACCTCACCTGGAGTACTGTGTCCAGTTCTGGGCACCACAGTTCAAGAAGGACACTGACAAACTGGAACGTGTCCAGAGGAGGGCAACCAAAATGGTCAAAGGCCTGGAAACGATGCCTTATGAGGAACAGCTAAGGGAGCTGGGCATGTTTACCCTGGAGAAGAGGAGGTTAAGGGGTGATATGATAGCCATGTTCCAATATAGAAAAGGATGTCACATAGAGGAGGGAGAAAGGTTGTTTTCTGCTGCTCCAGAGAAGCGGACACGGAGCAATGGCTCCAAACTACAAGAAAGAAGATTCCACCTAAACATTAGGAAGAACTTCCTGACAATAAGAGCTGTTTGACAGTGGAATTTGCTGCCAAGGAGTGTGGTGGAGTCTCCTTCTTTGGAGGTCTTTAAGCAGAGGCTTGACAACCATATGTCAGGAGTGCTCTGATGGTGTTTCCTGCTTGGCAGGGGGTTGGACTCGATGGCCCTTGTGGTCTCTTCCAACTCTATGATTCTATGATTCTATGGTGGGCAAACCTGTAAGACAATTAAATTGCAAGTGATAAGGAGGAGGAGCCGGGACGATTGTGACTTTTGTAGGCTGTTGAGCGCCAGCGGCCCAGTGTCTTGATGTGTGCAGGGTCCCAACCCTGTATTGCCACTGAAGTGGCAGCCCCGATACGGAACAAGTGCCCGGAATATTCCGGGGGACTAACACCGCAAGCAGATAAGGCTTTGCGTAAGAACAGCAAAACAGGCTTGAGCCCAGGAGTCAGCCTCTTTTGGCCTTAGGCCCACCGTCCATTGTCCTCCCTGGCCGAGGGCAGGTCAAAGGCCAGCTCAAGCATTTGGCTGGCACCCGCCCAGGTGAGCCTCGCTCGGTGCCACAAACCCTGCCCACCTGTGGGGAAGGGAGGGCGGATATTGTCAAGGAGCAGCTCTCCCTTCCTTCAGAGATCTTTGGAAAGCTTTGTTGGTTTGCTTAAACAGGCATCATGATTTTAACCAATGAGTATTGCTTGATATTCATTGACATTTTCATGGATCTTTTGTTGATTCTCCCTTCTTCATTTTCCCACTTGCTATATTGCTACAAAGGGACGCGGGTGGCGCTGTGGGTTAAACCACAGAGCCTAGGACTTGCCGATCAGAAGGTCAGCTTCACCTGGAAACCCTGATTCTGTGAATGGTTTCAGAACTCACAGAGTTAAAGAGTTCTGGTGACGTCTCTTTCCTGAGGCGTGGTTAGAAACACTTAAGGGAGGGATTTGACTCCGTGTGTTTCAGTCTGACTTTCGGACGTGATGCGAAAGGGAGAATGTGTCAGTTCTCGCCAGGTCTGAATTTATGATGTTATTCTTCATGATTAAAAGGCAAGAGTAGATAAGGACTGCCTTGTGTCTGGACTGATTTATTCCACACGTGCTGCACTCTGCTTCTCACCGCTGTGTTTCGCTCTGCTACCGGCAAGAGAAAGAGGCCTGAGGAGGACTTTTGCAGGAGGCACGGATAGCTTGCAGAGTTCCGCAACGGAAGCGTGCCGGGCTCCATGTTCAGTCTCTGTGTACCCTCTTGTCCGGTGTAAATAATTCCAACAGGTTATGGAAGCTCGCCAAAGCTTTGAAGCATTGCAGGAACGTCCCACGTGTGGGGAAGCCAGCAGGAAAGTTGCTGGGGTCCAGCTGGAGCTCTGGAGCTGTGTCTTTGAAGCTGGAAGGAGCTCGCTGGGGAGAAGCGATCTGCCGGAGCCGGGAGGCGGAGAAAGCTACTGCCGGGAGACGTGAGTAAGCTTAGCCCCCGGGGAGGAGATGGCAGACGATCGTGAATCATTCTCAGTTCCCTTTGAGAAATTAAATGGACAAAATTGGGCCGAATGGAGCCGGAAGCTAAAGGCCTGGCTGGTAGCCAAGGGGTTGTGGGAGGCGACCCAGGGGCCCCTCTCCCACCACCTGCAGCAGGAGCAGCAGCAGCGGACATAGCGGCTGCTCACGCGTCGCAGAGGAAAACCAGAAAGCCCTGGGAGCTATAGTGCTCAGTTTGGAGGGTTCTCAACTTCCTCTGGTTGAAGGGCTTGAGACTGCTCAGGAGGCCTACCAAGCCCTTGAGAGGGTGCACCACAGAACCACGGCTGGTGCAAAGATCCACACCACCAGACGCTTATTTGAGATGAAGCTGCGTCCCGGTGGGAACATCAGACAGCATGTTACTGAGATGCTTTCTGTTTTCAATGAGTTGCGCCTGTTACAGGTCAACTTTTCAGAAGAGCTGAAGGTTTATATTTTGCTCAGCTCTCTGGACAAAAGTTATGACAATTTGTGTCTGTCTATGGAATCGATGAGTCCACAGGATTTGACGCTATCGTACGTGACAGGGCGTCTTTCGGACGAACAGGAGAGGCGTGTCCGAGAAGGCAGGTCTGGCGCAGGCAGCTCCACCGGTTGCAGAGGTGGGGGCAAGCCAGATGAGAGCTGTGTTCAGGCTTTTTCCACTCGTCGATGTTATGTCTGTGGATCCAACAGCCATCTAAAACGGGCTTGTCCGCAGAAGAGCAGAGAGGCCGGGCAGGATGTCTCCAAGGTCAACCAGCTGAGTTCTCATGGGAACCAGTCTCGGAAAGGAGGCCAGCGTGGGAACGCGAAGGAGGGACGTGACTCAGAGAAGGGAGACTGTTATCATCTCGCGGCTTCTCTGGCAACTTTGAACAACAATGCCAGCAGGGACACAACTATGAAGTGGGTGCTGGACTCAGGAGCGAGTCATCACCTGATAACGCCATCTGCTGGGGAGCTGCAGAATTGCAGGGCTGTTTTAACTGGAATGACGTGTAAATTTGCTGACGGGAAAAAACGAAATGTATCTAAAGTGGCAAATGTCTATAATTCTGTTTTGCAGGCTGAGCTGGAGTGCTTCATTGTACCAGGGATGAAGTGTTGCCTGTTATCGGTTTCTGCTCTGGCGAAGCAGGGATACAAAATTTGTTTTGAAAATAACACCTGTTCCATTTTCAGAGGGGGAGGCAACTTGTCAACGTGGAGAGCAAGGACAATCTCTTTGTTCTGGAAACACCTCTGGAGGGTGGTGGGAATGCAGGGAAAGCACAGGCGCAGTGTGCTAGTGTTCCCAGCCATGATTCATGTGTTCATGTATGGCACAAGAGAATGTCTCATGCTTGTCTGGAGGATGTTAAGAGGCTGCCAGGCTGCACCGAAGGATGTAAAATCACACCATGTGAGGGATCCCTAGTGTGCAGGGCATGCAGCAAGGTTCAAAGGTGCAGGTTCCCGGGGTAAAGAGGGTAACCACAAAACCTTTTGAGTTGATTCACACAGATCTGTCAGGACCCATGAGGTGTGAGAGTCTGGGTGGGGCCAAGTATGTGCTATCGCTGACAGATGACCACAGCCAGGTTGGCTGGTGTTTCTCTCTCAAATCACAGGGGGAGGCGGCGCAACTGATCCAGGATTGGGTTGCGGAGGTGGAACGAAGGTTTTCCACCAGGGTGCAAGGGTTCAAGAGCGACCGAGGGTCACAGTTTACTGGGTCTGCTCTGGAGGAGTTTTTCAAGGAAAAAGGAATACGTCACCACGTGACGGGTGCAAAGTCTCCTCAAGGGAGAGGCGTGGCACAGCACAGGAGTGAAACACTGGCTGAAGCTGTCAGAGTTTTGCTGGGTGACTCTGGGCTGCCTCAGAGCTTTTGGAGTGAAGCTTGGAAAGCTGCCAACTTTGTTTTTAACAGGTCCTACAATCACGATGTAGGTGACACACCGTATTTTCTGTTGCACAAGAGGAAGCCACAGGTGCATTTCTTCCGTTCGTTTGGTTCCAAGGCTTCAGTGCCAATACCAACAGCGCAACGGAAGAAGGATGGTCCTAGGTACCAGGACATGATCTTCTGTGGGTATGATCCTGCAACAAATGGGTGGAAGTTTGCATACCCAGAGGGTGATCAGACCACGCTGCTGGTCAGCAAGCATGCTGAGTTCTTTGAGCAGGATGGTTGGTCACAGCCTAGGTATGGTTCTGATTTTCTCTCAGACTGCTTGTCCGATTCTGGGGGGAGGAAAAGGAGGAAGAAAGGGAGGAAGGAGAGGCAGAGGCGGAGCCTGTTGCTGAAGACCAGGTTGCTGATGATGGTCAAGCACAGGGGTGGGTTTCTCCACAGGTTAAGAGGGAACCCAAGAGTGAGCCTTCATCTCCTGTTAGCCAAGTGCAGGAAGCCCGAAGACGCAGCAAGTCAGAGGGGAGTCTTCTGAGCTTGCTGGAGACACACTTGCTGACCCCAGTGGGTCAGGAGGAGCGCCTGAGGTTGTGCTCCGGCGGTCAACTCCGGACCACCAACGGGATTCCACCGGAGAGGTTTCAGGTCACCAGTGCGTGGGTTGGTTTCGCACAGTGTGATTCTGGGAGTGTGGAAGGGATTCAACAATTGCCTGGGATGGATGCCAGTGGGAGGCAAAAGGCAATGGGAGGTGAGTTGAACTCAAAGAGGTCTGTAAATAGGGGTTCACAGTTTCCCCTCAGGATTCGTGACGAGAGGGGGTGTGAATGGTTTCAGAACTCACAGAGTTAAAGAGTTCTGGTGACGTCTCTTTCCTGAGGCGTGGTTAGAAACACTTAAGGGAGGGGTTTGACTCCGTGTGTTTCAGTCTGACTTTCGGACGTGATGCGAAAGGGAGAATGTGTCAGTTCTCGCCAGGTCTGAATTTATGATGTTATTCTTCATGATTAAAAGGCAAGAGTAGATAAGGACTGCCTTGTGTCTGGACTGATTTATTCCACACGTGCTGCACTCTGCTTCTCACCGCTGTGTTTCGCTCTGCTACCGGCAAGAGAAAGAGGCCTGAGGAGGACTTTTGCAGGAGGCACGGATAGCTTGCAGAGTTCCGCAACGGAAGCGTGCCGGGCTCCATGTTCAGTCTCTGTGTACCCTCTTGTCCGGTGTAAATAATTCAACAGATTCCCCTCCTCTGCTACCGTTCTACATTAAGAACATAAGAAGAGGCTGCTGGATCAGGCCCATGGCCCATGGAAGATGCCCTCAGAATACTGCTGCCCTATGATAGAGGGGATCTGGGTTTCCAGGTGAAGCTTGGCAGAACTGAATGGAGCATTTTCCAAAACCTTGCCCCAGCCTTTTGCCTTGCAGCCATGCTCAGCTCCATGCCCCTCTGTCTATGGAGCGCAACCTTCTTCCACTTCAATCAGGCCTTATATCTCATGATGGTTGCTTAAGAACAGAAGAAAAGGCTGTGCTGGGTCAAGCCAATGACCCATCTAGTCCAGCCTCCTGTTCTCATAGTGACCAACCATATGGCTGTGGGAAACCAGCACCCAAGCACATGAGCCCTCCCCGCTCCTGAGGTTTCCAGCAACTGCGATTCAGAAGCATGGAGGCAGAGCAAAGCATTTCGCATGCGCAGAGGTATTTGTCTGCTTGCGCATGTGAGGAAACGCTTGTATCGGGTGGTCCGCCAGAAACAAAAGGGTCTCCTTGTGCTCAGGTCAGGAGCAAACGCAAGGAGCAGGTGTGGCAACAAGAGAGCACTCAACAAAATACCCCCCCCAAAAAACCCCCAGGGGTAGACTTTGGTGATATGGCGCTCTGAGCTAGGAAACAGCAGGGCTTGAGCTGACCTCTTTGAATTCCGAGGTGTCAGAAGAGAGCCCAGCTTCCATCTGCCGTAAGGCCTATTATGGGCTGGCACTGAAGTCACAGTGGCCTCTGCCAAAGCTGGCTTCTTCAAAGTACATTTACAAGCCATTCTGAGGCTGCCTACCCAGAAGCTCAAAAGTGGTTACAACTTCTTCTTTTTTTACAATTATATTTTATTGTTTCAATATTTTAAAAATCATTTACAGTCAAAACACAATTTTGACTTTTCTCTTAATTTTCGTCAACTTCCCACCCTGTTTTCCATGGAGTTGTTGTTTCTCTCCTGCTGCACCCCATCTTCTGTTTGTCAAATCATAACCCCAGTATTATAATCCAATTACTTATGTTGCTGTCAGGGGTTCAGGAGCAGAGGCAAGGGCAAGGGAGGAAACAGAGAGCGAGGGGGAGGAGGCAGAAGAAAAGATGAGTGATGACGACGACCCGAGATCTCCGAGTCTTTCCAGTGAATCAGAAGATTCACAGAAAGGAGCACCAGTGGCCAGGGCAAGGGGAGCCTAGGGGACGCCCCAGGAAGATAGAGCCAGAGGGGACTCAGAGGGAGCAGTTGGAAATCGGGACCAGCGTCACCGCCAGAGAGCAGGGAAGAGGAAGGGAGCCAGGGATCAAGCGCTGGCAGCTCACAGCAGGGGAGGGCACGAGTCAGGGTGGCCACACCTCCATCGGGGAGCGAAGAAACGGTCAGACGGAAGGTGGAAGGTTGGGCGCGCGCGCAAGTTCAAATGCACAGGAAGGTGGCACAGTAGGCAGCCCGGAAGGGAGCCAGGTCCTAAAGCCCGCCGAAAGGAGGAGAAGAGTCAGGGGTCAGAGTCAGCGTCAGCGTCAGAGGAATCCCGGAAAGAAGAGACCCCAGGGGGCAGAGGGACCCAGAGAAGAATAGTCAGGCGGAAAAGGTGGAGCAGGGCTAGGATATTAAGTTGGTGTACAAGGGGCGGAGACTCAGCCGGAGCTTCGCCGGTCTAACCATGAGACGTAGAGTTGCACGCAGCAGTTTGAGAATGGAAACTGTAACTCAATAAAGACTTTGTTTAATGATCGCTGGCTAGCGTGATCCTCTGTGAGCTAGGATCTGGAAGCAGCTCTGACAGTTGCTCATAGCTCAAATCCTCCTTACGAGTTCAGCATACTATAATCCGAAAAAGGCCTATTTGTCCACAAAACTGCTAATTTTGCTAGTTCTGCATAGTCCATTATCTCACTTATCCCTTCTTTGGAACTTCTTTTCCTTCCATTTCAGCGCATATAGAATCCTAGCTGCTGCTGTTACATATAGAAACATCTTTAACTAATTATATCGAATAGCAGGTCACCACAACCAAAAACTGCAGTATCTAGCTCACCATTGCAATGATAAACTCTAAAAATATAATTGAGACAAGACATTTTAAGGAAAATTCATCAGAAACTATTCACTTTGGTTGTTGTTAGTGGCTGTGGACATGCCATAACATTACAGCACATGACTCCTTCCCCGAGAATCATGGGAACTGTAGTTTACCTCTAAACACAGTGCTATAGGTCCCAGTGCAACACATGCCTGGCTTATCCTAGAGATCACTGTGTGCAAAATTTGCGATGCCACTTGAGCCTAATATTTACCCTGCAATGCCAACCACCTTTGCCCAGGACAATGTACGACCCCCTGGACTCAGCTCTTCAAAAATTATTAGAATTTGGACTAAGAAACAGGAGCGTTCTGGAAAGAAGGATATTTTAAAAAGACCGGAAGATCAGAATTATGAAATTGGGGAAAAACTTTTAAAAATATTTTAAAAACTCTTCCAAAAATCCCTTTTAAAGAATCAAGTCTTTTTTTAAAAAAAAGTCCTAAAAAAGTATTTAAAAGAATCCTTTCCAAAAAATTAAAAAATTGTACAGTAGCCCCTTAGAGGTAGGTAGCTGATCTACCTAGCTGAATCTGGGGGGAAGCAAGAGAGAAGAACGCAGGAACAAGTGAAAGAAGCTTTCTCCCGACAGCCAGAACATGGAAAGGCCTCCCCAAAATTTTTAGTTTGGAATGTATAATTGGCTTTATTGTTTGTATTATGATGTGGCAAGATTTGATTTGATTTGTTATCATTAGAATGTTACTAATGGAGAATTAATTTTAAAAATATTCAATCCATTAAGAAGTTCTTAGTTCATCTTCAGTGAAGGTTTGCCGGATCATAAATCAGCAAATAGAATGTAAATAGAAAAAGAGATGAGCAACTGACATCCTTTCCACTGACATCATCATTCCATCATGTTGTCATAGTGCTGTGACCTCATGTCTCCAGGGGCTTGGGGGCCCTTAGCAACGCTGGTACACAGCGACCTCCATAGAGAGTGAGTGTGTTTTCTTTTTCTCTCCAAAGTCAGTGTGGTATATTTAGTTTTAATTTGGCATTTGTGTTCCCTTTTAATAAGAATAAGAATAAGAATAAGAATAAGAATGAGAATTTTTTATTTGTATCCTGCCCTCCCTGGCTGAGGCCGGGCTCAGAGCGGCTAACATCATAAAAAACCCCCAGGAAGGACCTTTTAGGCAGAATTTTGTTCCAAAGCCAGAACCATTCAGCTCTTTCAGGGGCTGGCCAGGGTAAAATGTAGAAATTGGAGACAGAGGCCTGTTCAGAGCTATTTGTGGTGGTGTCATTACAACCCATGGAATTCCTTACTAATTAAACGTCTCCCTGATTTCACAAGAGGAATAACCATGCTCTATATAGCTCATGTCTGGGAAAAGGTGGCATTTTCCCAAGGTTTTACCATGAGGGTGCAGTAAATGAGAACTGGTCCCTAACAGCTTGCTTGGTTCCCTCCCCTGTACGTTTTAGGCTCACGTTCCCTTTTTCTCTGGGATGCGGTACAGGCCGTGATTTGGGCTGACTTCCCAGAGAGCCTCGGTTGTAAATAAAAATTGCCCTGTTCCCTTATGGGGTATCCAAGAGCCCATATAGAGTCCTTACATAGGTTCCCTATTGGTAGGAGAAGATAACAGAGGCCAACCAGAGAATATTGAGAAGCAAGGCAGCTAGGAAGCTTGATCTTTACTGATCTGTTGCAACAGGGTGCTCCCCTCACCCGCAGGATAGACGAGGAACCCAGAACAATGGTGCGCAAGGCCTTATATGGACTCTTGAAATTGCCACCCTGTAGACCAAGACCACCCCCTGGAACATCATACATACATCACAGAAGGGGTGTAACCTAAGACCACCCCTCAGATACATCACATCTACATCACAGAAAAGGCGGTCTAAACAGAAATTTAATGTTGTTTTTCTCCTTGTTTATTTCCTGTTTGGCAGGTTACTTGATTGGATTACCTGGGGAGCCTGGCCAGTCTTTTGTAATGATAAATACTTAGTTCCTGGGCCAAGTCACAGGCTCACACCCTATTCATACACAGACATACCCTTAAGACAGGATTTGTGAAGGAAAAGACAATGGGGAGGCTTTTCCAGTTTGACCTTGCAGAGAAAACATTTGCTCAGGTTAGGAATCAAAATGGCTTCAGGTCGGTCTTCCTGTGCTGATCTATGTACGTGCGCCTATCACACCATCACATGAGCGGTGTGAGTTTTTCAACCGCATTCTAAATGACATACAGCATTACCAAACCAATAAACAGAATATCCAGTCAATCTTCAGTACCTATAAAAGAACTTAAGGGATAGGACCAGAAGCATTAGCCTCATCCTTAGGATCAGAAGCTGAGGCTCCCACAGATGAGAGTTGTTGTTTTCAACACAACAAAGCCACTTCCGAACCTGGCGAGAAGTTGGGGTTGCGGGCTTCACGCCCACTCCATGTGCGCGGGGGCTGGTTCCAGCCCCCGTGAGACCGAGGGAATCCCGGCCGCGTCGTTGGGTGGCTGGGGGGCATAGCCTGCCCTATTTAGGGCCGGCGCGGCCGGGGCTCGCCCTCTTTTCGCCTCGCCAGCCATCCCACTTTGGTTTGTATTAAGGTTGTTTTGTCTCTTGCTTACCTTTTCTTTAGGCTGTGTATCTCAATTCCTTCGGTGATCGATTTTCACTTGGATTTACCTGTGCATCGGTGTTGTGCCTCCCATTGGATTTCCTGCCTCAAGCCCGCCTGTGTTCCAGGCGGCCGCTTCGGCAGCCAGAGCCATTTAGCTCCGGAACAGCAGGGCTGAACCCGCGCCGGAAAACCCCATCAAACCGGGTGTTCCCTTCTCTCTGGGTGGCTTCTCTGCAGCGGAGCTTTGCGGAACGCGGTTTGCACGTTCAGTGCCAGCCCATCACTGTTTAGTCCTTTTACTCGGAAGCGCACAGCTCGCCCGACGGATCAGGTTTGGCTGGGGGTTCTTATTTCTAGCCGCATTCGCAGGGTGGTGGGGCACCTTTAACGTTTGTGGGGGGCTTGGTGGAGCAAAAGGAGGGAGGCTTAAAAGGACACGTCTTTGTCGCTACCCCTTTGCATTTGGTACTGGCCGCGTTGCCTTTGCGTTCCAACGGTTGCTTCTTCACCATTATACCTTTCCAAGAACTTCAGCCAGACTTCCAGATCGGATTTTACCTCTTTAGATAGGCGAACCCTGTGATGGGGTGACTGCAAGCCTGCTGACAACCTCGCGAGGCGGCTGCAAAATGGGCGGCCTGGGGAAACCACTCAGCAAGCAAAGTTCAAATGGCCTAACAACGACTGAATCTGCCTGAGCATAACTTTTCTTAGAGGGAGAAGTTGCTGAATGAGGTCCCTAAGCGCAACCAATTTTTCACTAGGAAGTTTTGAGGTTTGGGCGACTGTGTCCAACTCAGTGCCTAGGTAAACCATAGTTGTAGCTGGGCCCTCCATTTTATCTGCAGCCAAAGGTACTCCCAGCTCTCCTGCTAAAGATGTGAAGGCTTCCAGAAGGGCCGAGCACTTATGCCTACTATCAGCTACGAGAATAAAGTCGTCCAAGTAGTACGACACACCCTCAGAGCCAGTTCTAAAACGAAGCGCCCAGTCCAAAAAGGTACTAAATGCCTCAAAGGCTGCACAGGCCACTGAGCAACCCATAGGCATTGCTTTGTCTACAAAGTAAGTAAATGTAAAGGTACCCCTGCCCGTACAGGCCAGTCGTGTCCGACTCTGGGGTTGTGCGCCCATCTCGCTTAAGAGGCCGGGGGCCAGCGCTGTCCGGAGACACTTCCGGGTCACGTGGCCAGCGTGACGAAGCTGCTCTGGCGAGCCAGCACCAGCACAGCACACAGAAACACCGTTTACCTTCCCGCTATAAAGCGGTACCTATTTACTTACTTGCACTTGAGAGTGCTTTCGAACTGCTAGGTGGGCAGGAGCTGGGACCGAACGACGGGAGCTCACCCCGCCGCGGGGATTCGAACCGCCGACCATACGATCAGCAAGTCCTAGGCGCTGAGGTTTTACCCACAGCGCCACCCGCTTCCCGTGTCTACAAAGTATGCCCCGTCAAATTTAAAACCCAGCCACCAGAAATCTTCCGGGTGGACTGGCAGGAGTCAGAAAGCAGACTCTATATCACATTTCGCCAGCAACGCGCCTTTTCCAAATTTGCGAATAAGTTTAACCGCTTGGTCAAAGGAGGCATACCTCACAGAGCAAAGTTCCTGAGGTATCGCATCATTGACGGACCCTCCCTTTGGGTAGGATAGGTTGTGAATCATGCGAAACTCACCGGGTGCCTTTTTGGTGATGATGCCTAATGGGGATATATGCAAACCCTCTATGGGAGGGACAGAAAAGGGGCCGGCTACCCTCCCTGCCTTAATTTCTTTAAGTATTTTCTTGCGCGCCACTTCAGGCATCTCTCTAACTGATTTCTGATTTGGTGGGTCACCTGAATTGGGGGGGGGGGAAGCAACTGGGATCCTAAAACCTAAACTAAAACCTTCCCAGAGAAATAATGCAGCTGTTCTGTTGGGATAGAGATCCAAAAGGGTTTTTAAGGCTCACGTACCCTTTTTCTCTGGGATGCGGTGCAGGCCGTGATTTGGGCTGACTTCCCAGAGAGCCATCACATGAGCGGTGTGAGTTGTTCAACCGCATTCTAAATGACACACAGCATTACCAAACCAATAAACAGAATATCCAGTCAATCTTCAGTACCTATAAAAGAACTTAAGGGATAGGACCAGAAGCATTAGCCTCATCCTTAGGATCAGAAGCTGAGGCTCCCACAGATGAGTTGTTGTTTTCAACACAACAAAAGGGATGGCGTTTCACTCCTGCATCTGCTGGAGAACTGCCCCCCCTTTTCTAACTAACTGAAAGTACAACCTGGGAATATACACAGAAGCCCAAATGATTATTTGGAGGCGGAACAGGTACTGCTCACAGCTGATGGGGTGCGGCTCTTCCCATGCGCCGGCTTCTTTAGAGCGGATTGGTGTCCTGAAGCGACTGTCTGTGGTCCATGCCTTCCCCTTTCTCCGGGGGGGGGGGAGAAGCCAGGGAGTGAAGGAGGTGAGGACAGGTGACCCCCCCTAGGCCCGAAGTCACCCCAGGCCTCAAAACCAAATTTCCCCTTTCTCTCGTCTACAACAGCTTTTCTCTGCTCTGCTCTGCTTTCTCACAAGATGCTGCTGCATAAGCAAAAGGTTATTTTTTATCAGTACAAGAAGGCTTCAAAAAGCTAATGAATAGGCTCTGTCAATGCCAGGAATAAGCAGGTCTGGGAACTGAGTCTTATCTCATCCAGTTGCAACACATCTTGGACATGCTGAACGCAAGGCTTCTCAACCCCCTGGCTTCTCATCCCCCTTTCCTGGGAAGGGCGCCAAGAGTCCCAAGAGTCCCAGGACAGGAGCTTTCTGTTCATGAGACTTCCGGGTTGGTGCCTCCGGTAATGGCGGAATTCCTCTGATCGGGAGGAATTTGCCCCGTGGGAATCTGGGTCTGGCCACCACGGCGAAGGCGGAGACCCGCAAAAAAATCACAGGCGGGAGAAGCCTGTGAACGTGGGATTCTGCGGGCACCCTTTGCGCCTCCCCTACTCGCGGGGAAACCCGGTTTTGGGGGTCCGGAGCGACGTGGGGTGAGTGGCGCAGTGCTTCGAATCGTCTGTTCCTTCCACGGAGCGAAGCCGCATAGCTGTTGCCGGAGAGCGCTGACTTTTTCCTGTGGACAATTTGACTTCGAAGTAATTACCCGTGAGTAGAGCTGAAGCGGGAGAATTGGATTTTTAAACGTTTAATTTGGTATCGTAACGGGGAGGTTCAATACAGGAAGTCCGCCTTCCCCTTTTGTAAATAGACTGAAGCAATGAGGCTGCAAGCTGAAGTCTTGGAAAGCCTTTTGTAAAAGACTAAATTTCCATCGGTAAAGAACATTAAATCCCCCCTTGGAGGCAGGAGAAGAGGGGGGGGGAAGTTGTGGACTGAGTATGCCTGTAGGAGAGAGCGAAGAGAGCTAAAATACCGCTGCTCCGACCCTGGGAACGGGCTGCTAGCAGGACTGACATCTTTTGGAATGTTCATTGACAGTGTTTAGAACATTCATTGACAGCTAGCTAAATAAGAGAAATACATTGTTTCTACTGTCTCCGGCTGCTTTAAAAAAAGGAGTAAAAGTAACTGAAAACTGAAACTAACTTTGGATTGTTTGAACTGTGTTTAAAAGAGGACATTACTGACTAATATAAATAGAAACTGTTTCCCCCTAGTAGAAGCCTTTGAACTGGTGACTTTACAAGAGCTGGGCTAGGGGAATTTCCAGCTGCAAGATAAAAACTCTGAGACTCGGACTGACCTTGAATCTTTTAAGTGTTATGGCAAATGGAAAGGAAAAAACAGACCAGTTAACTGCTGAAAAAACATTAAGGTCTGGGAGAACTTGGCAGCAACCCAGGAGAGGCTCAACACCAGGCCTCCCTGCTTCTTCTGCTGCTGCTTCTGCACCAGTACAATCAAATTCAAGAGGAATGTCGACAGAAGGGCCTTAGCGGTTGCATTAAATAAGATAAATGATTCATTGGAACAGCTTAATAAGAAAGCGGATGCGACAAATGCGAAAGTGGATGCTGCAACTATTAAAATCGACTTAAATACAGAAAGTATAAATAACCTGGGACAAAAGGTGAACACCAACATAGAAACCATCCAGAAACTGATACAGGAATCTACTTTGATACGGCAGACTGCGGAGGAAGCTAGCGAGAAAGCCATTGCTTCTGAATGTAAAGTAACACAACTGGAGAGAGAGAGAGTCCCAGCCCTACAGAGCCAACTTGATGAACATAAGTTGACGCTTGCTATGATTGAACTTAAAGAAAAACAGACGAATCTGAGGATTAGAGCTCTACCCGAATTGGAGAAGGAAAGTTTGACAGACTTTCTCACACAGGAATTTGCTGACTTTTGGGACTTGGACTTGGGTCAAGAAGAGTTTAGAATTGTGAGGGCTTTCAGACTTGGAAGAGGAGGGAAAAAAGAGAAGAATAGAATAAGAGACTGCTTGATCACCCTTCAAACTAAAGAAGAGAGAGATAGAATCTTGAGCTGGCACTACCAGAAGAACTTAGAAGTACAACAGTCAAGAGTGGAAATTTTTTAAGACATCCCGAAACATCTTTTGGATCTTAGGCCTAACTACGGAGATATTGTTGCCCTGCTGAGAAGGAATAAAATCATCTTTAGGTGGGAGTTTCCCCAAGGTCTATCGTTCAATTTCAAAGGAAGGAAAATAAAAATAAGATCAGTAGAAGAGAAAGTAAAGTTTTTGTATAAATACAAAGAAGATCTGCAGAAGGAACTTGGAAAAGAGCCAAGAGCATTGGATAGAAGATCACCAGATAGAGGACTAGAGCAAGGAGCATCGGATAGAAGATCACCAAACAGGGTAATAATGGATATATCAGCATTATCCTTTGGATTGGATCTCCCAGTGAACGTGTCACCACCACCACCAACAAAAGAAGAGCAAGCATTGGGTGCAGTTGGAGGAATATCAACGTAATTACATAATGGCGTTGCAGGTTTCGAGCTGGAATGTGAATGGACTGAACTCTCCAGAAAAAAGGCGGAGAGTCTTTCATTTATTGAAAAAAGAACATTTGGACTTGATTTGTTTACAAGAAACACATGTGATAAGGCTACACAGGAAAATATTGAGTAATAAAAGACTGGGCCAATAATTTATCTCATCAGACAAAGTTAAAAAAAGAGGAGTGGTCCTTTATGCAAAGGAGAGCCTATCACCGAAATTCATATTCAAAGATGACCAAGGAAGATTTGTTGCAATTGAAATTCAATCACAAGGAGAGAAATTTCTGATCGTAGGTATTTATGCACCAAATGAAGGAAAATCGGAGTTCTTTAAGAAGCTACACGAGACTCTGATGGACTACATGGACTATAATATGATCTTGATGGGAGACATGAATGGAGTGGTGTCTACAAATATGGACAAGGCACAGAGACAGTTAGTCACCAAAGATGGCAGACTACCAAAAACCTTTTTCGACATGACTGAAAATATGGATTTAGTTGACATTTGCAGAATGAAGAACCCTCTGGGAAGAGAGGGAACTTTCTTCTCTGAGGCTAAAATGACATGGACAAGAATTGACCAAATCTGGGTAACCAGGGGATTGGCTCCGAAGATCAGCAAAGTGGAGATTTGCCCCAAAACTTGTTCTGACCCTAATGCCGTGAAGATGGAAATGAAATTGATGCCAATTGGTTCCTTTATATGGAGGATGAACGATACTTTGTTCAGGAATGAAGAGGTGACCAAAAAGGCCCAAAAAACTCTAAGAGACTATTTCGAGATAAACATGAATACTACAGTGGAAAAAAGAGTGATTTGGGACGCAAGCAAAGCGGTTATGAGAGGATTCTTAATACAATAGAATGCAATTAAGAAGAGAACTCAGAATGAAAAAAAGGATAAAATCCTGGGGAAAATAAAGGAAGGAGAGAAGAAACTGAGAGCAAAACCAAAGTCACAGGAGATCTTGAAAGAGATAAAGTTATACCAAGTACAATATATGAAGCTGATGAATCAGGAAATAGAATGGAAGATTAAACAGATGAGGCAAAAGACATTTGAATCGGCAAATAAGTGTGGAAAATTGTTGGCCTGGCAAATGAAAAAAAGACAAAAACTCAATACTATTACGAATTTGGAAGTGGAAGGAAAGAATATACAGAACCCAGTGGAGATCAGGAAGTGTTTTCAGAGGTATTTTAAACAACTTTATACACAGGAGAAGCAGAAAGAAATGGACATTGATCGATTTTTGAAAATAAATGGACTACATAAAATCTCTCAGGGAAAACAGCTAATGTTGAACTACAAAATAACGGATCAGGAGGTGGAAGGGGCCATTCAGAACATGCAATTAGGTAAATCTCCAGGACCAGATGGTTTGACCTCAAGATATTACAGATCTTTGAAAGAATGGTTAATACAACCATTGAAGGAAGTCTGCAATGAAATATTGGAAGGGAGAAAGGCACCAGAGTCGTGGAAGGAAGCTTACATTACACTTATACCGAAAACAGAGACTGAAAAGACACAGCTCAAGAACTACCGCCCCATATCGTTGCTTAATGTGGATTACAAAATTTTTGCAGATATTTTGGCTAAAAGATTAAAAAAGGTGTTAGTAGAAGAAATTCATAAAGACCAAGCAGGCTTTCTCCCGGGCAGACACTTGTCTGACAATATGAGGAATATAATTAATATTCTAGAAAAACTACAAGTGAATATCAATACTAAGGCAGTTTTGATATTTGTGGATGCAGAGAAAGCCTTTGACAACATCTCTTGGAGTTTTATGAAGAAGAATATACAGGGGATGGGGGTAGGTCAAGGTTTTGAAAACAGTATAGGTGCAATTTATTCAGAACAAAAGGCAAAATTAATTGTGAACAATGTAGTGACAGAAGAGTTTAAGATTGAGAAAGGGACACGGCAAGGTTGCCCAATTTCTCCATTGCTTTTTATATCGGTCCTTGAGGTGTTGTTAAATATGATTAGAAAGGACAAAGAGGTTAAAGGTATACAAGTGGGAGCTAAACAGTACAAACTGAAAGCATTTGCTGATGACTTAGTATTGACTTTACAATGACTTAGTATTGACTTTACAGGAGCCAGAATCTAGTACTAAAAGGGTATTGGAACTGATCCAAGAATTCAGACAGGTAGCAGGTTTTAAGTTGAACAAGATGAAAACTAAGGTTTTAGAGGAAAATTTAACTGGGAATGAGAGAGAGAAGTTTCAGGAGGAGACAGGACTAACATTGGTTAAGAAAGTGAAATACTCAGGGGTTAACATGACTGCCAAAAATGTGAATTTATAAATAAATGCGAATTTATTTAAGGATAACTATGAAAAATGTTGGATTGAAGTAAAAAAGGATTTAGAAATATGGACAAATTTGAAGTTATCATTGTTAGGCGGAATTGCTGTGATAAAAATGAATGTATTGCCAAGGATGTTGTTTTTATTTCAAACATTGCAAATTTTGGATAAGATGGATTGTTTCAAGAAGTTGTTTTAATAATGCATTTGGCTGGCATGCATATTTGTGGTACGATAAGGTAAAAGCACATAAAGCGTTTAAAAATCATATTGTTAGAAAAGCATTGTTTAATGTTTGGATAAGATATAAGGATTTGTTAGAAAAGAAAACCCCAAGATGGTTGTCACCAATGGAAGCGAAGGCACAGAAAAAACTCAATATGGAGGCCAAATGGCCGAAATATTGGGAAATTCTGGAACAAGATGGAGACAGAATAAAATTGCAGAGCTTTGAAAAATTGAAAAATAAAGTGCGAGATTGGCTCCATTATTACCAAATAATGGAGGCATACAATTTGGACAAAAAAGTTGGTTTCCAGGTGGAAGAATCAAAATTGGAAACAGAATTGTTAGAGCCAAAAATCAAGAATCTGTCAAGAATGTATAACTTGCTGTTGAAATGGAACACTCAGGATGAAATGGTGAAATCAGCTATGATTAAATGGGCACAAGATGTTGGACATAACATAATGATGGCTGACTGGGAACAGTTATGGACCACAGGTATGAAATTCACGGCATGTAATGCCCTAAGAGAAAATTTAATGAAAATGATTTATAGGTGGTACATGACCCCAGTCAAGCTTGCAAAAATTTACCATTTGCCCGATAATAAATGTTGGAAATGTAATGAGACTGAAGGTACATTCTTTCACCTTTGGTGGACATGCCCAAGGATTAAGACATTCTGGGAGATGATTTATAACGAAATGAAAAAGGTATTCAAATACACCTTCCCGAAGAAACCAGAGGCCTTTCTCCTGGGCATGGTCGGCCAATTGGTGCCAAAGAAGGATAGAACTCTTTTTATGTTATGCAACAACAGCAGCAAGAATACTCATCGCGAAGTATTGGAAGACACAAGATTTACCCACCCGGGAAGAATGGCAGATGAAGTTGATGGACTATATGGAATTGGCGGAAATGACTGGCAGAATCCGAGACCAGGGAGAAGAGTTGGTGGAAGAAGACTGGAAAAAGTTTAAAGACTATTTACAGAAATACTGTAAAATTAATGAACAATGTTGGAATGATGTTGGAATGAAGTTATATGGCTTTAGTAGAAATGTTATAAGGAATTAAGTATAAATAGATAATAGAGTGTTAAAGGAAAAAATAAGGCTAGAATGTGTTAAGATAATTATAGGATAGAAAACAGAGGAAGATGGAAAGGAATTGCTGAAACAATTAATAGAAGTGGAATACAAAAAGGGAGGTGTGAGGAGGTCATGGAAATAAGTGAATGAGAGATAAGATATTGAAATTATGTGATGTGTTTTAAACTGTTTTTGTTTTTTGTTAGTTTAATGTGTTAATGTTATGTGTTAGTATTAGTGTTATGTAGTGTTTTTGTATTGTATTGTATTGTCCATTTTTTTTCTTTTTTGTAGTGTTTAAATTGTTGGAAAAGCAATAAATATTATTATTATTATTTTTAAAAAGAGCTTTCTGTTCATGCTCAGGGAAACTCATGAGGCAGGACTCCTGAGGAGGGGGAGAAGGGGGAGGGAACTGGAGGGGAATATATGCTCTGTGCAAATGGCTGCGAACTTGTGCTTGTTTGTGAAGTTATCACTCTAGCTCCTTCTACCAATCCCGGATGGTAGAAATAAAGCTTTTTCTCTGAAATTATCCCTTGAGTGCCTGTTTGACTCCCCTTTCCCTCTCTCGGGTGCAATGCTCTTCCCACCCGAGGGCAAAGCCTGAAAAGGCTACAGGAGTTGTGGCGTCCTCAGGCACAGAGGTTTTCCAGGTAGCTAGTCCCAGGGTCCACTTCTGCAGGCAGCGCACCTCCACCCGCACACAAGACAAGCCGCCTGCAGGAGTCGACTCCTGCAAAGTGGCCCAGCAAGGGGAGATCCTTCCAGCAAGGTTTCAGGGCAGACCTTCAGCCAGACCTAGTCTGTCCTGGGATCCACCCATAATGAGAAAACTAAAACAAAACTATTCACACAAAAGGCAGGCCTTACATCCAGGCTTTTACTGACCGTACATTAAAAGACCTTTTCACAAGAGATATTGAAGATAATAAAACACAGCACCCAGAATTAGGAAGAGATAACCAGGCTGGAATAGTAGATCATGTCAGATCATTTTCCTCCACAAATTTTACAATATTCTTCCGCGGTATCCACTTCCTCCCCCCTTGGATCTACATGAGCTTGCTATTTCCAGGTCTGTCAAATATTTGGTCATCCTTCTCACTCTGAGTAAAAAGACTTCCTCATTTCAATGTTTACAAATAAAAATACAATACCAAATACTTTGAATCATTCCCAGATTCTGTCAATATCCAGGGTAATATTTCCCAATTGCTAAATTTCCAGCAATCAAAACTGGAATATCATATTCCAGTCTTAATAGATTACCTAAAAATGACAATTTCTTATCCAGAGATTCTATTTATTTTTTTAAAATAATTTTTTATTGATTTTTCCATGGATTCTACTTCTAACAATGTATCTTTAACAATTTTTCATATTTCGACCCTCCTCCCCTGGACTTCCCTCGTACTCACATTTGTTTTATTTCCCTATTGTTCACCTTGCATATTTGATGTTTCCCATAAATTTCCTCTATATAGCACATATAGTCTTATTTTTTGTTGTAGACAGTTGTGATTGTTCACTCAAACCCTGACAATGAGTCCATTTCTTTATGTTGCCTCTTCATATATGTTGTAAATGGTTCCCATTCTCTTTTAAAGACTTTGTTGTCCTTTTCATGTAATTTTTCTGTTAGTTTTGCCGGTTCTGCATATTCCATAAGTTTCCCTTGCCATTGTTCTTTCGTTGGTATTTCTTCTGTCTTCCAAGTTTGTGCTAATAAAATTCTTGCCGCTGTTGTTGCATACATAAATAATTTCCAATTTTCTTTTTTTACATCTTGGTCTAAAATTCCTAGAAGGAATGCTTCTGGTTTCTTAACAAAAGTCTTTTTAAACAGTTTTTTCAATTCATTATATATCATTTCCCAATAATTCCTAAACTTTTTGCATCTTGCAGGATGGCTTTTTTTCTAAAAAGAAAAAAGCAAAACAAGATCTACCCCTCATACGAGGATGAGGCCCCTGCCCTACTGCCGCCATTGGCGAAGCCTTCAACATCAGCCACAGAGGACAGGAGGAAAAATCAAGTTGCACCCAAAAACAAGATCTACCCCTCATATGAGGACGAGGCCCCTGTCCTACTGCCAGCATTGGCAAAGCCTTCAACATCAGCCACAGAGGACAGGAGGAAAAATCAAGTTGCACCCAAAAACAAGATCTACCCCTCATATGAGGACGAGGCCCCTGTCCTACTGCCAGCATTGGCAAAGCCTACACCATCAGCGGCAGAGGCCAGGGCGGCAGAGGCCAGACCCCTAGTCTTGCCAGGGCTGGCGCAGCCCCGGACCAGCAAGCAAGACCCAAGCCAGCGGCGGCCCTCAAAAAAGAAGAGCCTTGAGGACTCTGGGCCAGCGTTCCCAGGTGAGTAGGCAGAACCAGATCCCTTTTGGGTTCCCCTTGGCCTTAGACTTGGTGTTTACCTCTACGGATGTTGGTGATCTGACACTAACTAAAAGCGAAACAAAAGAAGTGCCATGGTCAGATCACTTCCTGGTGCAACTGGACTTCTCCGCGACCCTTCCCCTCTGCAGGGAGGTGGGACCAATTCGGATGGTCCTCCCCCGCTACTTAATGGATCCAACTGGTTTCCAGAGAGTGGTAGGGGATGTTTTATCCCAAGTTGATGGCCTCTCGGGTGATTCCCTGGTGGCCCGTTGGAATGCGGAGTTAACCAGGGCTATTGACTGTATGGCTCCGAAGCGCCCTCTCCGATTGCATGGAGCCCGGACAGCCCCGTGGTTTTCCCCAGAGCTGAGGGCGATGAAACAATCATTGAGACGGCTAGAGCGCTGGTGGTGGAAAACTCACTCTGAATCAGACTGGACACGGGCTAGAGCTCAACGTCGAGCCTACCAAGTGGCAATGGCGACGGCAAAGAGGGCCTTCTTCGCCGCCTCCATTGCATCTGCAGAAAACAGCAGCAGGAGACTTTTTCAGGTGGTTCGCAATCTATCGGAACCACCTGCACCACCGGGGCCTGGTAGGGATCCCAAGATCTCCTGCAATGCTTTTGCAAAGTTTTTTGCAGATAAAGTCACTCAGATTCAGAAGGAGGTAGACTCCACTGTGGGAGCAGGGCCAGGGCGGGAGAGCGCTAGAGTTGTGTCTAGTCCTGTTACATGGGATCAATTCCAATCTGTTACCTCCGAGGATGTGGACAGGCTGCTTGGACAAGTGAAACCGATCACCTGTCTCCTTGATCCTTGCCCATCCTGGCTGATAAAAGCAAGCCGGGGAGGGCTGGGCGATGGGCTCTGCGGGGTGGTGAATGCTTCTCTCTGTGAGGGAGCCTTCCCAGACCCGCTGAAAGAGGCGGTCATTAAACCGCTTCTTAAAAAAACATCTTTAGACCCAGCCAATTTGGCAAACTATCACCCAGTCTCAAATTTACCATTCTTGGGCAAGGTGATTGAGCGCGTGGTTGCTGAACAACTCCAGGCACGCCTGGAGGATGCGGACCATTTGGATCCCTTCCAATCGGGATTCAGGCGTCACCATGGGACTGAAACTGCCTTAAAGAATCATAGAATCATAGAGCTGGAAGAGACCACAAGGGCCATCGAGTCCAACCCCCTGCCAAGCAGGAAACACCATCAGAGCACTCCTGACATATGGTTGTCAAGCCTCTGCTTAAAGACCTCCAAAGAAGGAGACTCCACCACACTCCTTGGCAGCAAATTCCACTGTCAAACAGCTCTTACTGTCAGGAAGTTCTTCCTAATGTTTAGGTGGAATCTTCTTTCTTGTAGTTTGGATCCATTGCTCCGTGTCCGCTTCTCTGGAGCAGCAGAAAACAACCTTTCTCCCTCCTCTATGTGACATCCTTTTCTATATTGGAACATGGCTATCATATCACCCCTTAACCTCCTCTTCTCCAGGCTAAACATGCCCAGCTCCCTTAGCCGTTCCTCATAAGGCATCGTTTCCAGGCCTTTGACCATTTTGGTTGCCCTCCTCTGGACACGTTCCAGTTTGTCAGTGTCCTTCTTGAACTGTGGTGCCCAGAACTGGACACAGTACTCCAGGTGAGGTCTGACCAGAGCAGAATACAGTGGCACTATTACTTCCCTTGATCTAGATGCTATACTCCTATTGATGCAGCCCAGAATTGCATTGGCTTTTTAGCTGCCGCATCACACTGTTGGCTCATGTCAAGTTTGTGGTCAACCAAGACTCCTAGATCTTTTAATTGTTATGTTTTTTTATTGTTGATTTTGCTTTTCGTGTTTTTTTTTATTTTCTTTTTGGGATTTGTATTGTGTATTTGTGTATCTTTTTATGTTTTTCTTTTTTTCTTTGTTGTTCAATTTTTGATCGAAACCTTAATAAAAATTATTTATAAAAATAAAAATAAAATAAATAAAGTTCGTCTTGTTTGTTTTGGCCTAGTTCTCTAATCTGTCAAGGTCGTTTTGAAGTGTGATCCTGTCCTCTGGGTGTTAGCCACCCTCCCAGTTTGGTGTCATCTGCAAATTTGATCAGGATGCCCTTGAGTCCATCATCCAAGTCGTTGATAAAGATGTTGAATAAGACCGGGCCCAAGACAGAACCCTGTGGCACCCCACTAGTCACTCTTCTCCAGGATGAAGAGGAACCATTGATGAGCACCCTTTGGGTTCGGTCAGTCAGCCAGTTACAAATCCACTGAGTGGTAGCATAGTCAAGACCGCATTTTACCAGCTTCTTTACAAGAATATCATGGGGCACCTTGTCAAATGCCTTGCTGAAATCAAGGTAGGCTACATCCACTGCGTTCCCTTCATCTACCAGGCTTGTAATTCTGTCAAAAAACGAGATCAGGTTAGTCTGACATGACTTATTTTTCAGAAATCCATGCTGACTATTGGTGATCACAGCATTCCTTTCTAGGTGCTCACAGACTGTTTGCTTAATGATCTGCTCCAGAATCTTCCCTGGTATTGATGTCAGACTGACTGGGCTGTAATTATTGGGTCCTCTCTTTTCCCCTTTTTGAAAATAGGGACAACATTTGCCCTCCTCCAGCCTGCCGGGACTTCGCCTGTTCTCCAGGAATTCTCAAAGATGACTGCCAGTGGTTCTGAGATCACATCTGCCAGTTCTTTTAATACTCTTGGATGCAGTTCATCTGGCCCTGGAGACTTGAATACATCTAAACTAGCCAAGTATTCTTGTACTATCTCCTTAGTTATTCTGGGCTGTGTTTCCTCTGCTGAATCATTTGCTCCAAATTCTTCAGGTCGGGCATTGTTTTCTTTATCGGAGAAGACTGAGGCAAAGAAGGCATTGAGGAGTTCAGCTCTTTCTGTGTCCCCTGTTTGCATTTCACCATCTTCTCCTCTGAGTGACCCCACTGTTTCTTTGTTCTTCCTTTTGCTACGAACATACCCATAAAAGCCTTTTTTGTTGCTTTTAACCTCTCTAGCAAGCCTGAGTTCATTCTGTGCTTTAGCTTTTCTGACTTTGTGTCTACTATTGTGCAGCCTATTTGTTTGAATTCCTCTTTGGTGGTTTCCCCCCTTTTCCATTTTTTGTACACATCCTTTTTTAATCTTAACTCAGTTAAAAGTTCTTTAGATAGCCACCCTGGCTTCTTTAGGCACCTTCCAACCCTCCTCTTAGGTCTGGTCGGGGTTCTTCCATGAGCTGTCCGTTCCAAGGTCGCCTGCACATTACCTGATGACTGACTTTGCTGCTCGTCTTCATATACCTGATCGACTGTAATGAGGGAGAGATCCTCAATAGGAGTCTGCTCTTCGTCTTCCATGCTAGGGGAGAGGACCTCAAAGCGATTGTGTATTTCTAAATATGCTGGTTGGTCGCGCTGGTTGATGATCTCCGGTGAGCTAGGGACAAAGGTGAGAGCTGTTTCCTAGTTCTGCTGGATCTCTCAGCGGCCTTTGACAGCATCGACCATAACATCCTTCTGGACCGTCTAGAGGGGCTGGGAGCTGGGGGCACTGTTATACGGTGGTTCCGCTCCTTTCTCCTGGGCTGTGCCCAGAAAGTGGTGTTGGGGAATGAGTGTTCAGACCCCTGGTCTCTCACTTGTGGGGTGCCTCAGGGTTCCGTCCTCTCCCCCATGCTTTTTAATATCTATATGAAGCCGCTGGGAGAGATCATCAGGGGGTTTGGGCTGGGTGTTCATCAGTATGCAGATGACACCCAGCTCTACCTCCTTTAAATCAGAACCAGTGAAGGCGGTGAAGGCCCTGTGTGAGTGCCTGGAGGCGGTTGGAGGATGGATGGTGGCTAACAGATTGAGGTTGAATCCTGACAAGACTGAAGTCCTGTTTTTGGGGGACAGGGGGCGGGTGGGTGTAGGGGATTCCCTGGTCCTGAATGGGGTAACTGTGCCCCTGAAGGACCAGGTGCACAGTCTGGGAGTCACTTTGGACTCACAGCTGTCCATGGAGGCGCAGGTTAATTCTGTATCCAGGGCAGCTGTCTACCAACTCCACCTGGTACGCAGGCTGAGACCCTACCTGCCTGGGAACTGTCTCACTAGAGTGGTGCATGCTCTAGTTATCTCCCGCTTGGACTACTGCAACGCACTCTACGTGGGGCTACGTTTGACGGTGACCCAGAAACTGCAATTAATCCAGAATGCGGCAGCTAGACTGGTGACTGGGAGCGGCCGCCTGGACCACATAACACTGGTTCTGAGAGATCTGCATTGGCTCCCAGTACGTTTCTGGGCGCAATTCAAAGTGTTAAAGCCCTAAACGGCCTCGGTCCAGTATACCTGAAGGAGCCTCTCCACCCCCATCGTTCAGCCTGGACACTGAGATCCAGCGCCTAGGGCCTTCTGGTGGTTCCCTCATTGCGAGAAGTAAGGTTACAGGGAACCAGACAGAGGGCCTTCTCAGCAGTGGCGCCCACCCTGTGGAATACCCTCCCTTCAGATGTGAAGGAAATAAGTAGCTACCCTATCTTTAAAAGACATCTGAAGGCAGCCCTGTTTAGGGAAGTTTTTAACATTTAACGCTGTATTGTTTTTAATACTTGATTGGGAGCCGCCCAGAGTGGCTGGGGAAACTCAGCCAGATGGGCGGGGTATAAATAATAAATTATTATTATTATGATACAAGGCCGGGGTCTCTCTTGGTTTCCTTGATGTCTGGGTGCAAATCCCCCCCCTCCTTGTTAAGAGGCGTGTAACATGGAGCAGGGACTTCCGGGTGGCTGTTCTGCATTGCTGGGGGTTGGACTAGGTGACCCCGCAGGTCCCTTCAGACGCTACAGTTCTATGATCCCTGTTCAGATATGGCATGCACCCGCTCATTGCAACAGGCGAGAAGCCCCCTGAGAAAGAACTTGCCGTCTTTTCTCGTGTATAAGACGAGGTTTTTTACCCCCCAAATCAAGTGTCAAATTGGGGCTCCTCTTCTACAGGGGGAGTGCTGAGGGGGGACGGGTGCTTGGTTGTAGCCGCCAGGAAGAGATTTCCAGCCATGATTTCTTTGCTGTGGAAAGGGCTGTTGTCGACTGGCAGACGATAGGTGACTTGGTGGTTGATGCGTGCAATTGTGCAATTTGATTAATGGCTCCCTCCCCCCAAATAAAGCTCAACCACTCTGGGCAACCCCTCCCCCAAAAAGCTTAAGAAGTCTTGGCAATCTGCCCCCATTTTCTAAATTTTGAGTGCCCAAAAATAGGGGGCGTCTTATACATGGGGGCGTGTTATACATGGAAAAATACGGTACCTTTCCCTCTCATCCGCCTCATTTACTCACCTCTCTCTCTCTCTCTCTCTCTCTTTCTTTCTGAAGAACTCTCTGATGAAAACTTCGAGTACTTGTGGATGGGTAAGAAAATGCTGGGAGGAAGAACCGTCAGAGAAGCCTTGGAGATGATGGATGAAAGGGAGATTTTGGACACCATCCTCCAACACCTCCAGCCAGCTCCCCAGGTGTGTGTGATGCAGGGTGGATTTGATTGAAATCAAATCAATTTAAAACATATTTTTACATTCTTGCTTGTATAATCTTAATATTTACAACCAGATGAAGGTTTCATTTTGGGAATAATAAATTTCCAGAGTAGTTTTTACTACTGATTTGGTTATACTGTTAAGAATGCATAGACAGATAATTATGAAATTATTGTGGGGTATAATAAGTTAACTGTGTACAGACGCTTCAGGTTACATACACTTTAGGTTACAGACTCCGCTAACCCAGAAATAGTACCTCGGGTTAAGAACTGCCATCGGCTCAGGGGCGAGAGGGGAAAAGCCGGGTGGATTACAGAGAGCCCCCAAAGATCGTGGGAAGCAGCACTTCCTCAGCGGAGGAAGGGGAGGAGATGCAGGGGTCGGAGGAGGCAAGGCGGTGCCAGGACACCTTGCCTGAGCAAAGCGGGGAGGAGGGGGGTCCCCCATTACCCAAGCCTTCCTTGCGCAGTAGGCTTCCGCGCAGAGAGGGGAGGCACAGACTGGGCGCCAAGAAATTACTCTGCTGGGGAAGGTTGAAGGGCCGCCCACTCTCAGATTCTGCCCGTGAATGAGCAAGACACGGAATAGAGGCCCTCTGCATTCTAAAAGTTTTGATCACTAAGAAGAAAGCTGGAAAACAGACTCTTGAGCCATATTGCCTGATTGCTCTCAAGCAACCAACCGATACCTCTAACAGTGGTGCTTCAGGTTAAGAACAGTTTCAGGTTAAGAACAGACCTCCGGAACGAATTAAGTTCTTAACCTGAGGTACCACTGTATATTTGGACAACTTTTCTGCTGTACCTTATTGGAAGGAGAAAAATAATCATTTCCTTAATAAGAATTTAAACAATTTATTTAACTAAAACAATAACATTATAGCTTATATATCCATGTTTCTTAACTGATGTAGTTAAACATTTTTTTTAAAAAAAATTCTTAGACTGAATTTTATCATATATGAAAAACTTAAAATAAATCCTTACTTCCCCGTGAATAGCCTTTGGACTATAATGCAACTTAAATAGAAAAATATATTCCGAAAGATTTTTCCTCCAAAAGCATTTTATTTTAGAAATACAATTTAATTTTTTTAAAAAATGTGATTTAAATCAAAGAAATCTATTAAAAAAAATAATGAGTCATTGATTTTTATCCACCCTGGTCTGATGTTGCGCAGCGTGAACCAGGATTCCCCAACCTGGTGCCCTCTAAATGTTCTGGACCATATGCTGCCTGGGGCTGGTGGGAGCATGTAGAAGGGTTCAAGTTGAGGGGAACTGCCATGAACTATCACAGGCAAAGGCAAACTCGGCCCTCCAGCTGTTTGGGGACTACAGCTCCCATCATCCCTAGCTAACAGGACCAGCGAGTCAGGGGTGATGGGCATTGGAGTCCCCAAACAGCTGGAGGGCCGTGTTTGCCTAGGCCTGAACTATTGGGAGCTCAGCTTGGAGGAAGGCCCTATTTGCACATGCAAGAGACGACTTTCCCCTGGTGAGAAGGAGTGGTGACCGCCAGTCTGGGGGGGCTTGAAAAGAGGACCAGGCAAACTTGGGGAAGCAGAGAAGGCGATCAGTGCAGGATCTGTAGATCGGAAGAAGAACCAATCCATGAACTTGATTTGGTGGGGTGACTTGGACCCCAGGAAATGTTGCATGTTTTTTTCTTTAACTTTTGCAACTGATCGTTCCCGATATCTGGGAACGTTTCAGAACCCGATATTGTGCAGTAAAAGTTTTTGTGACTGTATTGTGCCAAATGTGGCCAATATTTCCTCTTCGCTCTCAAGAGCAGTTAATTTGCCAGGCCTGGGCATTTGGCAGAGCAGGCAAGCAAATACTTTATGCAACAGAAAATTTAATAAATAATCATACTGGAAGTGGTATTGTCTGTTTGTTATTATGGTATGTATTTTTGAGTCTACAGTGGTGCCCCGCAAGACAGATGCCTCGCAAAACGGAAAACCCGCTAGACGAAAGGGTTTTCCGTTTTGGAGGTGCTTCGCAAAACAAATTTCCTATGTGCTTGCTTCGCAAGACGAAAATGTCTTGCGAGTTCCTGAGGGTTTTTTTCCCTCCCCCCCCTTTTTCCCAAGCCGCTAAACCGCTTATCAGCTGTTCGGCTAAGCCACTTAACAGCTGATCGCTAAGCCGCTTATCAGCTGATCGTTAAGCCGCTTATCAGCTGATCGTTAAGCCGCTTATCAGCTATCATTAAGCCGCTTAACAGCTGATCGCTAAGCCGCTTATCAGCTGATCCTCTAAGCCCGCTAAGGCGCTAATACTGTAGCGCTAATCCGCTAAACCGCTAATGGGCTTGCTTCGCAAGACGAAAAAACCCGCAAGACGAAGAGACTCGCGGAACGGATTCTTTTCGTCTTGCGAGACACCACTGTATATTGTAAACCGCCCTGTGATCTTCGGATGAAGGGCAGTACCGGAATTTAATAAATACCGTATTTTTGCTCTATAAGACTCACTTTTCCCTCCTAAAAGTAAGGGGAAATGTGTGTACATCTTATGGAGCGAATGCAGGCTGCACAGCTATCCCAGAAGCCAGAACAGCAAGAGGGATTGCTGCTTTCACTGCGCAGCAATCCCTCTTGCTGTTCTGGCTTCTGAGATTCAGAATTCCCCCCCCCCCTTGTTTTCCTCCTCCAAAAACTAGGTGCGTCTTGTGGTCTGGTGCGTCTTATAGAGCGAAAAATACGGTAATAGTAATAGCCACAATGCCTAGATTCTGTTTGTTCAGGGCAGGAAACAAAGTGCTTTAAATGAATGGTGTGTCTCCCAGTCCAGAGGATTTATTGAATCTTCTGTGGAGTGTTACTTTAAAAAAGAAGAAGAATTGATTGCAATAGATTTTACTCCAAATGATTTTTGCAAGAAGTCTATTTCTAGGCATGTGGGGTTTTTTTTAGAGAAGACAAGTGGCAGATAGATGGCAACTGTTCTCTAGACAAGAAACATGACACTTTTCTTCATTTTATTCCCAGCAGAAGACATCCAAGCCTGGACACAACAAGGTAAGTCCTTGTCGCGAATTCCTCACGGCGCTTTTAGCAGAATGCTCAGAGTCCCAGGTTCTTTAGTGCAGTATTTATTATTGTGAGCTCAATATATATACAAATATCTACAGAAGCAGTTCATCTAATCAGACAGAGTACCTGCACCTTGAGGCAAAAGAAGACTCCACACTCATCTACACCACTCCACCACTATTGGACAGGCTTCCCTTTTAAACCAGTGACAGCCAATCACATTACTGCTGCGTCATTCTGACCCAGCACTTCCACAGAGAGTATTGGATCTGTAGCCTTATTGGAGTTCACTGATTGGGTCTGCGTTGCTCCAGGACAGGAGGAAGGAAGCCAAATGACACCGAGGTTGATTCAAAGAAGAAAGAGTTTATTCTGCTCTCCGGATAGCAGAAGGTACTTGCGTGATCAAGTCCACAGCAAGTCCAAAGAAATGACAAGTTTCATGCAGTATATATATCCTCCAGGCACTCTCTCCATCCTTCCAACCACATCAGCCTATGTACGCAGGTTGACATCACATATGTTCTTGCTCTGGTATTTTTAACCATAAAAGGGTGTTCCTTCCTGTACTTCTGACCATAAAAGGATCTTCCTCTTCCTACTCTTATCTGGGAGGAATAGGTCATAATCTCCGGGAACACGCTCTGGTGCTGTTCCCAGATTGGGTCTGTGCGTCTTTTGTGGTCAGCACATAAGATAAGGCACACACGCATCATCCCTGCTCTACTGGAACTTGGCAAGGTGACTCATTGCCGCCACAGTCTGATAAGGGAGAGAGCTTCGAGCACAGCTGGGTTTTTGTTTATACATTGACTCAGAGCTCAAGTTAATGGATTTTAGCTAAGGAAAAATAGGGAATTTGGTGCAGTTTTCAAACTGCCTTCACAGTCAGTTTTGGGTTTGGGAAACCCATTCCTTTACATCAGCCTGTTGCAAACTGAAGCCTGCAGACTTACTTGCACAGCATCCTGCAAATCCCAACACTCCTCCTTAAGTCAAAGGCTTGAGACCTAATAATTCTCTTAAGTCTTGAAATTTAGGAGCATCCAAACATTTTGTATACAAATCCGCCACATTACATTTTGTGTTACAGTGCTGTACCTTTAACACATTTCTTTCCAAAGCATTTTTCACATTTCCGTATCTTATAGCAATATGTTTACTCTTGCTCTTAAAGTTCTGTTGGTTAGCAAGCTGTTGTGCAGCCATGTTGTCACTTAGCACAGTGATTGGCATTTCAGAAGGTATTCCAAGCTCTTTTGTTAGGCAAGCAAACCACTCTATTTGTGACACACATTCACTTATGGCTGAGTACTCTGCTTCACAAGTACTTGTGGCAACAAATGTTTGTTTCTGGGATTTCCACTGAACCAGGGCATTTCCAATATATATGGCATAGCCAGTGGTAGACTTTCCATTTTCTCTGTCCCCCCAGCTGGCATCAGCGTATGCATACACTTGCTGATCATATCCTGTATCCAGCACCAGTTTGTAATCTTTTGTGCCTTTCAGATACCTTAGGATTCTTTTAAGTGCTACCCAATCTCTCTGAGCCAGGTCTGCACTTCTTTGCAGTGTGCACTGCCAATGTTATGTCGGGTCTTGTCCAACAACTTAAATATAACAGAGAACCTAACAGAGAATGAAACGCTGTGCATTCTCACATTTTTGCCCTTCTGGTTCCTTTTTGAATTGGTAGTTATGGGAGTGTCAACCTCACTTGCCCTCTCCATTCCATATGTCTTCAGTAACTTTTCGATTTTTTCCTTCTGACTCAGAGAGTAGACGCCCTCTTCATTTCTCCAAACCTCTACTCCTAAGTAATTCTGAATCTCTCCCAAATACTTCACTTTGTATTTGTTACCTAGGCTGTTTATAAACCAAGACACTTGCTTTTGTGCAGTTGTTATTAGACAGATATCATCAACATACAAAAGTAAATAACAAACGCTTCCTTGCACCATTGCTGAATATAAACAGGAATCAGCCAGGCTTTGTTTGAATCCCATCTTTTTCAAAGTTGTGTCTATGCATTCATGCCATAGACGTGCACTTTGGTGTAAACCATATAGTGCCCTTTGCAGCTTTAACACCATGCTGTCTTTTTCCAGCTCATAACCTGGTATTTGCTGTAAATACACCTCGGCGTCAATAGGAGCATTTAGATATGCTGAGGCAACATCAAAATGATTAACTTTTAACCCCCTCAGACTTGCCATTGCTAAAACTGATTTTACTGTTTCAGCCTTTGCTCTTGGGGCAAACACTTCATCATAATGTATCATTTTCCTTTGTGTAAAGCCCCTTGCAACCAGCCTGGCTTTCCTCTGACAACTACCATCAGCCAGCTTTTTCATTTTAAAAACCCACTTACAGCTTATGGGCTTTTTACCTTCAGGCAATTCTGTAGGTGTCAGCATCGCCCTTCAGCCAGTGTCACCAACTGGATTCATCCACTTCAGCCCCAACTAGGCTAGGCGAGCTGGGTAGCACTTCCAGAGACCACCTTCTGCACAGGAACAGGTCAAAGTGTTGTGGACTCACAGCTTAGAGTTGTGAGCATCAGATTCACTTCCACAAGAAGACAGTCGTCGCACAGCAGAGTATAGCAGAGTACAGCAGAGCATAAACGACTCAGAGAGAAGCTCTGTAGAATATCTTCTTTATTCTATCTACAACTATAATACACAACTATATACAGAGCTAAATGAGGTCTAAACAAAAATGAATGCTGAACTGCACTGAGTGTCTGCAGCTGCTCTTAGCAGCAACCTTATCTATACACACAATCTCTCTCTAACACTCAGTCTCTCTCTCCGACACTTTGATGTGAGGCTGGAGCGGAATAAGTAGAGAGCAGAAACCGCCCCTCCTCTCTGGAGAATCAGCAGAGAACATCAGCAGATTCTTGGATATGGGAGGGGTGAAATCTCCTCAGTAGGTACAAACACATTGTTATTTAGCAGAGAGTTATACTCTGCCTGCATTGCCTTTAACCACACCTCTTTCTCTAGAGTAGGTAACTCTTGCAGTTCTTCAAAGTTTGCTGGCTCAGTTACACAAACCTGGTTTATGGTGGCTGGGAACCCATAACGGGCTGGAGGTTGGCCTTTATTACTTCTTTCAGACCTCCTTGGTTCATTAATCTCACCCCTTGGGCTACCTTCAGGACTGCTTTTGGGGTGGATTGACTCTGGAGATTTATCTCCTCCTGTCCCTGTTGCACTTTCTCCCCCACCCCCCCCGCTCCATGCTAGCAGCTGGAGAAAAATGCTCAGTCTTTACCTCCTCCCTTTCAATTTCTCTGGGAGAGCTGCCAATTCTTAGCTTTCTTTCAACGGCCTTATCAGTTACGCTCGGCAGTAAAACTTTTTCTGGCAGCAGGTTAGCATGTATCTTGGGCCAATTTCTTTGCTCATTAAAGCTGGCTGACCGACTATAACTCAAAAGATTTTTATCATCTTCAAACCTGTAGGCTTTCGTATTGCTTTCATACCCAAGAAATAGCAACTGCTGTGCCCTTTTCCCACCTTTTCTTCGGTTTTTTTACAGGTATGTCAACCCATGCCTTTGTCCAAAAGATTCTCAAATGTTGCAAACTGGGACTTTTGTTATAGAGAATCTTATAGGGTATGTCATCTAGTACCCTTGACCACAAACAATTTCCAATATAATTCGCTGTCTTAATACTCTCAGCCCAGTACTTAATTGGAAGATTTGCATCTGCTAACAATGCTTTCATTTGTGTCTGCAAGACACCTCCCCTACGCTCTGCTACTCCATTCTCCCGAGGAGTCGCCACATTGGTAAGCCTATGTTTAATCCCTTGGGATCGCAACCAGTTTCTTAGGGAGCTTGCTATAAATTCTCCTCCCCTGTCTGTCTGAATAGAGCACACCTTTTGGCCAAGTTGCCTTTCTATCCTTCTTACCCAGAACTTCAAAGTTTGGGCAACATCAGATTTTTGCTTTAATGGATAGCCCCAGCCAAATCTAGAATAGTCATCCACTAGGATCAAACAATACTTGTTATGGGAGACACTTGGTGGAAAAGGACCAGTTACATCAGCATGAACCAACTCCAGTGGTTTTTTTGTTTCTCTCTGGCTTGCTCTTGCTACTGGGCAAGTCCTGCTTTTAACCTCCTTGCAGATATTGCAGTCTAAGTAATTATCACAACTTTTAATGTTTTTCATCCCCCCCCCCAACTCCAATGTTTTGTTCAGCACCTTAAAGCTGGCACGAGCCAGACCCCTGTGCAGCAGATGAATACACATATCATGGGTTGGGACATTTTGCACATTCGCAACCTTAGACTCACACTGCAGTACATACATATTAGTTCTAAGGTTAGCATTTGCCAATACTGCCCCATTTTGCTTTATCTGGCACTGATCTCCTACAAAGTTTATTTCAAAGCCTGCTTTTCCCAAGTCAGGAATACTCAGGAGATTGTTTTGCAAACTAGGCACACACAACATATTCCTGAATGTGTGTCCCAGCTGTGGGAACACAATCTCCCCCTCACAGACTACATTAGCTTTCTGGCCTGTAGCAAGACTTACATGGTTTTGTTTGAAGCCCTAGCATCAGTTAGCAATGCTTTTCTTTTACAAAAAGTTTGAGAAGCTCTGCTGTCCAGAACCCACAGCTCTTCATTTTCTTGGCCATCTGCAGACACCCAAGCGGTAGACTCTCTCTGCTGCCTCCTGTGCATCTGCTGTTTTTGTTGTTTCCTCGGGCAGTCCCGCAGCAGATGTCCACTGGACTTGCAGCAAAAACACCTTTTTACCTTGTTGACCACCGGCTGGTCTGCAGCAGCTCCTCCTGGCTGTTTCTCCGGCTCCCGACACCTCTGCTCTTCCCGGCTGTTGTTCCCTCTGGGATGCTCCAACAGCTGGGCTGAGGTCATCTTTCGCTCTGCACGCCTGTCCTCCTCTGCATACAACCGTCTGGTAATGTATTCCAGAGTCAGCTTATCAGTCTCTACCGACTCAAGGGAATTGACCAGCATATCATAGCTGTCATCAAGGGAACTCAGGACTATAAAGACTTTGTCCTCTTCCCCCACAGGCCTCCCTCTTAAGACTAGCTCCTGGAAACAGCCTGTTAGGTATTTTAGGTGGTTCACCAGGGAGTCCCCCAGTGTCTTCCGACACCAGTATGTTCTCCTGGTCAGTTTTCATAGAATCATAGAGTTGGAAGAGACCACAAGGGCCATCGAGTCCAACCCCTTGCCAAGCAGGAAACACCATCAGAGCACTCCTGACATATGGTTGTCAAACCTCTGCTTAAAGACCTCCAAAGAAGGAGACTCCACCACACTCCTTGGCAGCAAATTCCACTGTCGAACAGCTCTTACTGTCAGGAAGTTCTTCCTAATGTTTAGGTGGAATCTTCTTTCTTGTAGTTTGGATCCATTGCTCCGTGTCCGCTTCTCTGGAGCAGCAGAAAACAACCTTTCTCCCTCCTCTATGTGACATCCTTTTATATATTTGAACATGGCTATCATATCACCCCTTAACCTCTTCTTCTCCAGGCTAAACATGCCCAGCTCCCTTAGCCGTTCCTCATAAGGCATCGTTTCCAGGCCTTTGACCATTTTGGTTGCCCTCCTCTGGACACCTTCCAGTTTGTCAGTGTCCTTCTTGAACTGTGGTGCCCAGAACTGGACACAGTACTCCAGGTGAGGTCTGACCAGAGCAGAATACAGTGGCACTATTACTTCCCTTGATCTAGATCTATATCTAGATTCCCTTGATCTTGATCTAGATGCTATATGAGATTGCTGGGCAGCAGTTGAAGAAGGAGCAAAAAGGGTTTTCTTGTGTGTGTGTGTTTCTTTGTGGCTGATTGGCTGCTCTCCCTGTGCAAAGGTCAGAGGGGGCAGGGTTTCTGTTGAGGCAGGTGATTAGCTGTGGGAGGAGCTTATCAGAGATTGCTGGGCAGCAGTTAAAGAAGGAGCAAAATGGGTTTTCTTGTGTGTGTGTGTTTCTTTGTGGCTGATTGGCTGCTCTCCCTGTGCAAAGGTCAGAGGGGGCAGGGTTTCTGTTGAGGCAGGTGATTAGCTGTGGGAGGAGCTTATCAGAGATTGCTGGGCAGCAGTTGAAGAAGGAGCAAAAGGGTTTTCTTGTGTGTGTGTGTTTCTTTGTGGCTGATTGGCTGCTCTCCCTGTGCAAAGGTCAGAGGGGGCAGGGTTTCTGTTGAGGCAGGTGATTAGCTGTGGGAGGAGCTTATCAGAGATTGCAGGGCAGCAGTTGAAGAAGGAGCACAAAGGGTTTTCTTGTGTGTGTGTGTTTCTTTGTGACTGATTGGCTGCTCTCCCTGTGCAAAGGTCAGAGGGGCAGGGTTTCTGTTGAGGCAGGTGATTAGCTGTGGGAGGCGCTTATCAGAGATTGCAGGGCAGCGGCGCGCCTGGCGCGCGCAGTTTTATCCATCTTTTAGATTTAGGGAGCTAGTCTCAAACGTTTGTTGGGGAAGACCTAGGTTTTTTTGTGGGGGGAGTTATTTTTCCTGTCTTCACGCTTTTTATGATGGAGGACCACTGTAGCCACCCCCAACGACACGTTCTCAAGATGGAGGGAGGGAACAGCTGCAGTCGCCTGCGGTTCCTGCGCAATGCTTGCCATCTTGCCAAAGGTTGCAGGCAGCTTTACCTGCAGCAATTGCATGTTGATTGCCCTCTTAAAAGACAAAGTCCAGCAACTGGAGGAACGTGTAGCTACGCTCCAAAGAATTAGAGAGCTGGAGCTCTTCTTGGAAGCAACAGAGCACACCGTCTCCACCAAGGAGGAGACAGGGGACTCCCCTGAGAAGGACGCTAGTTCACCAACACAGGAGCCAGATATATGGAGAAACGTGACTCAAAGAAGTAGGAGGCCCAGGGTTCGCTCTGATTGTTTAGAAATACACAATCGCTTTGAGGTCCTCTCCCCTAGCATGGAAGACGAAGAGCAGACTCCATTTGAGGATCTCTCCCTCATTACAGTCGATCAGGTATATGAAGACGAGCAGCAAAGTCAGTCCTCAGGGAATGTGCAGGCGACCTTGGAGCGGACAGCTCACAGAAGAACCCCGGCCAAACCTAAGAGGAGGCGTGTAGTGGTGATAGGGGATTCCCTACTGAGGGAACAGAAGCAGTGATCTGTGGGCCTGACAAGATGTCTCGGGAAGTGTGCTGTCTCCCGGGGCTAAGATCCAAGATGTAACTGAACGACTGCAAGGAATCATAAAACCCACTGACAAATACCCCTTCCTCTTGGTTCATGTGGGAACCAATGACACTGCAAGCAATAGCCTCCAGAAGATCAAAAGAGACTACGAGGCTCTGGGCAGGAAATTGAAGCAATTAAATGCACAAATTGTGATCTCATCTGTCCTCCCAGTTGAACGACGTGGCCCAGGGAGAGAGGGAAAATAGTGGACGTGAACAGCTGGCTTCGCAAATGGTGTAAACAGGAACGGTTTGGATTCTTAGATCACGGACTGCAGTTTCTTGAAGATGGACTTCTGGCAAGCGATGGGCTGCACCTCACAACAGTTGGGAGAAATGTTTTTGCCAAAAATCTCAGAAACCTCATCAGGAGGGCTTTAAACTGACTAATGTGGGGGAGGGAGATAGTGCTCCTGAAGGTAGGAGTCTATCAATTGATGAAGATGATCATCCAAATGTCATAGACCAAATGGAGCAAACAGCACACAGACCTAGTGGTGGGAGGAAAAAATCCTTAAATAAGAGTCACGGGGAATGATTAATGGACTTCAATGTCTGTACACTAATGCGCAAAGCATGGGAATAAACAAGATGAGCTTGAGCTCTTGGTACAGCAAACTAAATATGACATAATAGGCATCACTGAAACCTGGTGGGATAAGTCCCACGATTGGAATGTAATAATGGGGGATACAATCTATTTCAGAGAAACAGACCAGACAAGAAAGGAGGAGGAGTGGCGTTATATGTCAGGGATGTGTATACCTGTGAAGAGATCCAAGATTTAGAACCTCAAAGCCAAAGTGAGAGCATTTGGGTCAAAATTAAGGGAGAGAAGAATAACAGTGACCTCATTGTGGGAGTTTACTATAGATCCCCAAGCCAAACGGAGGACATAGATGATGCCTTCCTGGAACAGATGGCCAAGCATGCAAAAGGAAGGGAGATAGTAGTAATGGGGGACTTCAATTACCCGGATATTTGTTGGATGTCAAACTCAGCCAAGAGCATAAGGTCAAACAGATTCCTCACTGGCCTTGCAGACAACTTCATTGTCCAGAAAGTGGGAGAAGCAACAAGAGGAACAGCCATTTTAGATCTGGTCCTAACCAATGTTGATGACCTGGTTAGTGGGGTAGAAGTGGAAGGATCATTAGGCGCAAGTGATCATGCTCTTCTGAAGTTTACTATACAGCGGAAAGGAGCAGCCAAGCATACTAGGACTCAATTTCTTGACTTTAAGAAAGCTGACTTCATAAAACTTAGGGAAGTGCTGGGTGAGATCCCATGGACAGTAATACTAAAAGGAAAGGGAGTTCATGATGGCTGGGAGTTTGTTAAGAGGGAGATACTAAAAGCACAACGTCAGGCAATACCAATGAGACGGAAACATGGAAGGTGCCTAAAGAAGCCAGGGTGGCTATCTAAAGAACTTTTAACTGAGTTAAGATTAAAAAGGATGTGTACAAAAAATGGAAAAGGGGAAACCACCAAAGAGGAATTCAAACAAATAGCCAGCAGGTGTAGACACAAAGTCAGAAAAGCTAAAGCACAGAATGAACTCAGGCTTGCTAGAGAGGTTAAAAGCAACAAAAAGGCTTTTATGGGTATGTCAGTAGCAAAAGGAAGAACAAAGAAACAGTGGGGTCACTCAGAGGAGAAGATGGTGAAATGCAAACAGGGGACACAGAAAGAGCTGAACTCCTCAATGCCTTCTTTGCCTCAGTCTTCTCCGATAAAGAAAACAATGCCCGACCTGAAGAATTTGGAGCAAATGATTCAGCAAAGGAAACACAGCCCAGAATAACTAAGGAGATAGTACAAGAATACTTGGCTAGTTTAGATGTATTCAAGTCTCCAGGGCCAGATGAACTGCATCCAAGAGTATTAAAAGAACTGGCAGATGTGATCTCAGAACCACTGGCAGTCATCTTTGAGAATTCCTGGAGAACAGGCGAAGTCCCGGCAGACTGGAGGAGGGCAAATGTTGTCCCTATTTTCAAAAAGGGGAAAAGAGAGGACCCAAATAATTACCGCCCAGTCAGTCTGACATCAATACCAGGGAAGATTCTGGAGCAGATCATTAAGCAAACAGTCTGTGAGCACCTAGAAAGGAATGCTGTGATCACCAATAGTCAGCATGGATTTCTGAAAAATAAGTCATGTCAGACTAACCTGATCTCGTTTTTTGACAGAATTACAAGCCTGGTGGATGAAGGGAACGCAGTGGATGTAGCCTACCTTGATTTCAGCAAGGCATTTGACAAGGTGCCTCATGATATTCTTGTAAAGAAGCTGGTAAAATGTGGTCTTGACTATGCTACCACTCAGTGGATTTGTAACTGGCTGACTGACCGAACCCAAAGGGTGCTCATCAATGGTTCCTCTTCATCCTGGAGAAGAGTGACTAGTGGGGTGCCACAGGGTTCTGTCTTGGGCCCGGTCTTATTCAACATCTTTATCAACGACTTGGGTGATGGACTCAAGGGCATCCTGATCAAATTTGCAGATGACACCAAATTGGGAGGGGTGGCTAACACCCCAGAGGACAGGATCACACTTCAAAACGACCTTGACAGATTAGAGAACTGGGCCAAAACAAACAAGATGAATTTTAACAGGGAGAAATGTAAAGTATTGCACTTGGGCAAAAAAAATGAGAGGCACAAATACAAGATGGGGGACACCTGGCTTGAGAGCAGTACATGTGAAAAGGATCTAGGAGTCTTGGTTGACCACAAACTTCACATGAGCCAACAGTGTGACGCGGCAGCTAAAAAGCCAATGCAATTCTGGGCTGCATCAATAGGAGTATAGCATCTAGATCAAGGGAAGTAATAGTGCCACTGTATTCTGCTCTGGTCAGACCTCACCTGGAGTACTGTGTCCAGTTCTGGGCACCACACTTCAAGAAGGACATTGACAAACTGGAACGTGTCCAGAGGAGGGCAACCAAAATGGTCAAAGGCCTGGAAACGATGCCTTATGAGGAACGGCTAAGAGAGCTGGGCATGTTTAGCCTGGAGAAGAGGAGGTTAAGGGGTGATATGATAGCCATGTTCAAATATATAAAAGGATGTCACATAGAGGAGGGAGAAAGGTTGTTTTCTGCTGCTCCAGAGAAGCGGACACGGAGCAATGGATCCAAACTACAAGAAAGAAGATTCCACCTAAACATTAGGAAGAACTTCCTGACAGTAAGAGCTGTTCGACAGTGGAATTTGCTGCCAAGGAGTGTGGTGGAGTCTCCTTCTTTGGAGGTCTTTAAGCAGAGGCTTGACAACCATATGTCAGGAGTGCTCTGATGGTGTTTCCTGCTTGGCAGGGGGTTGGACTCGATGGCCCTTGTGGTCTCTTCCAACTCTATGATTCTATGATTCTATGATTCTATGATTCTACTCCTATTGATGCAGCCCAGTCACACTGTTGCCTCATGTCAAGTTTGTGGTCAACCAAGACTCCTAGATCCTTTTCACATGTACTGCTCTCATTTTTTTAAAAAAATAATATTTATTAAAGTTTCAAAGGGGGAAAAAATCACATTAATAAAAAAAATTAACAATAAAAAGGAAAAATACAAAGTAGAAAAAAAAGAAAAAACAGTTAAAAACAATTCCATCTTTTCCTCACTTCTTTTACGTTTACTTGTTTCCCGGACCTCCTCATACCTCCCTCTTTTGTATTCCAATTCAATTTGTTAATCCAACAATTCCTTTCCCTCCTAATCCTAATCCTTAGTCTTGATATATTGTAACGTTAGATTTTTACATATTAAAAACCAATTTTTCAATATTCTTTTGTACCTATACAGCTAGAAACCACTTAACTTCAATCCAACATCATTCTAACATTCATTAATTTTACAATATTTCTGTAAATAGTCTTTAAATTTCTTCCAATCTTCTTCCACCGACTCTTCTCCCTGGTCACGGATTCTGCCAGTCATTTCTGCCAATTCCATATAGTCCATTAATTTCATCTGCCATTCCTCCAGTGTGGGTAAATCTTGTGTCTTCCAATGCTTTGCAATGAGTATTCTTGCTGCTGTTGTAGCATACATAAAGAAAGTTCTGTCCTTTTTTAACACCGATTGGCCGACTATGCCCAGGAGAAAGGCCTCTGGTTTCTTCAAGAAGGTATATTTAAATACCTTTTTTAGTTCATTATATATCATCTCCCAGAAAGCCTTAATCTTTGGGCACGTCCACCAAAGGTGAAAAATGTACCTTCAGTTTCTTTACATTTCCAACATTTATTATCAGGCACATGATAGATTTTTGCAAGCTTGACTGGGGTTATGTACCACCTGTATATCATTTTCATAATATTTTCTCTTAAGGCATTACATGCCGTAAATTTCATACCTGTGGTCCACAACTGTTCCCAGTCAGCAAATTCATCTTGTTTGTTTTGGCCCAGCTCTCTAATCTGTCAAGGTCGTTTTGAAGTGTGATCCTGTCCTCTGGGTGTTAGCCACCCCTCCAGTTTGGTGTCATCTGCAAATTTGATCAGGATGCCCTTGAGTCCATCATCCAAGTCGTTGATAAAGATGTTGAATAAGACCGGGCCCAAGACAGAACCCTGTGGCACCCCACTAGTCACTCTTCTCCAGGATAAGGAGGAACCATTGATGAGCACCCTTTGGGTTCGGTCAGTCAGCCAGTTACAAATCCACTGAGTGGTAGCATAGTCAAGACCACATTTTACCAGCTTCTTTACAAGAATATCATGGGGCACCTTGTCAAATGCCTTGCTGAAATCAAGGTAGGCTACATCCACTGCGTTCCCTTCATCTACCAGGCTTGTAATTCTGTCAAAAAACGAGATCAGGTTAGTCTGACATGACTTATTTTTCAGAAATCCATGCTGACTATTGGTGATCACAGCATTCCTTTCTAGGTGCTCACAGACTGTTTGCTTAATGATCTGCTCCAGAATCTTCACTGGTATTGATGTCAGACTGACTGGGCGGTAATTATTTGGGTCCTCTCTTTCCCCCTTTTTGAAAATAGGGACAACATTTGCCCTCCTCCAGTCTGCCAGGACTTTGCCTGTTCTCCAGGAATTCTCAAAGATGACTGCCAGTGGTTCTGAGATCACATCTGCCAGTTCTTTTAATACTCTTGGATGCCGTTCGTCTGGCCTTGGAGACTTGAATACATCTAAACTAGCCAAGTATTCTTGTACTATCTCCTTAGTTATTCTGGGCTGTGTTTCCTCTACTGAATCATTTGCTCCAAATTCTTCAGGTCAGGCATTGTTTTCTTTATCGGAGAAGACTGAGGCAAAGAATGCATTGAGGAGTTCAGCCCTTTCTGTGTCCCAAAGAGCGGTAGTCTCGTAATCTGGGGAACTGGGTTCGCGTCTCCGCTCCTCCACCTGCAGCTGCTGGGTGACCTTGGGCTAGTCACACTTCTTTGAAGTCTCTCAGCCCCACTCACCTCACAGAGTGTTTGTTGTGGGGGAGGAAGGGAAAGGAGATTGTGAGCCGCTTTGAGACTCCTTAGGGGAGTGATAAAGGGGGATATCAAATCCAAACTCTTCTTCTTCTTCTGAGTGACCCCACTGTTTCTTTGTTCTTCCTTTTGCTACGGACATACCCATAAAAGCCTTTTTTGTTGCTTTTAACCTCTCTAGCAAGCCTGAGTTCATTCTGTGCTTTAGCTTTTCTGACTTTGTGTCTACATGTGCTGGCTATTTGTTTGAATTCCTCTTTGGTGGTTTCCCCTTTTCCATTTTTTGTACACATCCTTTTTTAATCTTAACTCAGTTAAAAGTTCTTTAGATAGCCACCCTGACTTCTTTAGGCACCTTCCATGTTTCCGTCTCATTGGTATTGCCTGAAGTTGTGCTTTTACTATCTCCCTCTTAACAAACTCCCAGCCATCATGAACTCCCTTTCCTTTTAGTATTACTGTCCATGGGATCTCACCCAGCACTTCCCTAAGTTTTATGAAGTCGGCTTTCTTAAAGTCAAGAAATCGAGTCCTAGTATGCTTGGCTGCTCCTTTCCGCTGTATAGTAAACTTCAGAAGAGCATGATCACTCGCGCCTAATGATCCTTCCACTTCTACCCCACTAACCAGGTCATCAACATTGGTTAGGACCAGATCTAAAATGGCTGTTCCTCTTGTTGCTTCTCCCACTTTCTGGACAATGAAGTTGTCTGCAAGGCCAGTGAGGAATCTGTTTGACCTTATGCTCTTGGCTGAGTTTGACATCCAACAAATATCCGGGTAATTGAAGTCCCCATTACTACTATCTCCTTCCTTTTGCATGCTTGGCCATCTGTTCCAGGAAGGCATCATCTATGTCCTCCGTTTGGCTTGGGGATCTATAGTAAACTCCCACAATGAGGTCTCTGTTATTCTTCTCTCCCTTAATTTTGACCCAAATGCTCTCACTTTGGCTTTGAGGTTCTAAATCTTGGATCTCTTCACAGGTGTTATCAGCGAGCCAGCTGTCTCTCGCACATGGACAGCCTTGAGCGCATTCCACGCCTCACTTGCTGTCACCTTATCAGCTACGTAGACTAGCTGGCTGTCGTCCACTCCAAGGATGATCGTAGCCAAGGCTTTCTCATCCTTTTCATCCTCCTCAGGGGGCTGTGGTGGATCTTCCACCACTTTCCACAGGCCTTCACGCTTGAGGAAGTGTTGCATGCGGACTGACCAGATCCTGTAGTTTGTGGCGTCCAGCAACACGCCAGCTCTGGACTGCTCCATCCCTGCAGCTCCCCTCCAGCACCCACGGCTAGATAACTGCCACCTGTACTCATGCGCAGCGGAAGTGTGCTGGGCCCATAACCCTGTCACGAATTCCTCGTGGCGCTTTTAGCAGAAAGCTCAGAGTCCTAGGTTCTTTAGTGCACTATTTATTATTGTGAGCTAAATATATATACAAATATCTACAGAAGCAGTTCATATAATCAGACAGAGCACCTGCGCCCTGAGGCAAAAGAAGACTCCACACTCATCTACACCACTCCACCACTATTGGACAGGCTTCCCTTTTAAACCGGTGACAGCCAATCACATTACTGTGGGGTGCCACAAAAGAGAACACCCTCTCCCAATTTCAGTCATGGGGGGAGGGTGGGGAAACCCGTAAGAGGCTGCGGGTGCAGGTATTAGTTCTCTTAAAAAGCGGGAAGAGCCTAGGGTCAGCGTATCTAGGACAAAAGTGTGTCATGAGAATGAAAGACGAGGCTGCTGGGTTAGACCAGCAGCCTGCACAGTCCAGCATCCTTATCTCACAGTGGCCAACCAGATGCCCATGGGAAACTGGAAAGCAGAATTCGAACACAGAGCCCTCTCCCCTTCCTGTGGTTTCCAGCAACTGGTATTCAGAAGCATTCCTGCCTCCAACAGTGGAGGCAGAGCAATTAGGACATGCTGAACTTGTCAACTTTCAAATTCCCCAAATGAGGAGTACTAAAGAGTTGTAATAGGGACGCGGGTGGCGCTGTGGGTTAAACCACTCCCCCGCTTGGGCTTGCCGATTGGAAGGTCGGCGGTTCGAATCCCTGCGATGGGGTGAGCTCCCGTTGTTCGGTCCCAGCTCCTGCCCACCTAGCAGTTCAAAAGCACATAGTGCAAGTAAATAATAATACACACATAATACACACATAATTCATATCCAATCCCTCCCCAGCTGAAGCCAGTACTGCTCCGGCTGGAAGGCAAACGGCATTTCCGTGTGCTGCTCTGGTTTCGCCAGAAGCGGCTTAGTCATGCTGGCCTCATGACCTGGAAAAACTGTCTGCAGAAGCGGACAAATGCCGGCTCCCTCGGCCTTAAAGTGAGATGAGCACCGCAACCCCAGAGTCGTTTGCGACTGGACTTAATTGTCAGGGGTCCTTTTACCTTTACCTTTAAAGAGTTGTAACATGACTTGGGAATTCAGAAGATGTGTAAAATTGCATACAAATCATTAAAACAATTGCCTAGTACTTGCAATCTATTATTATTATTTAGTATTACCCGACATTTTCAGACGGTAAAATTGAAATTCTTTGGTTTTCCAAAAGCAGTTGATATAGCTGGTGGGGTCTCCTCCCTGTGACTCACCCAAACCTTCCCCAACCCTTAGAATGCCCTCTATAGATATTATGGACTCAAGCTGCGGGATTCCAGGAGCGCAGAGACAGTCCACCAGTACCTCAACTTACTCCTGAGGTTGCCTCTCGAAGAGGAAGCAGACAGAGAGGTGAGTGAATGTGTGGGATGTCAGGGGGGGAGGAGAGCCAGTGGGACTGGGACTGTGCTCACACGGAGACTCTCCACCTCCAGCCGTGTCCTGGAAGAGCCTCCTCCTTCTGAACCCTCCTGCTTCAAGCACCTCCCCAGGCTGCTCCCCAGTGTCCCACCACCACAATCCAGGGTCCCCCACTCTTACTCATCCAGCCAGTCCCTGACATTACCCCACAGACCCCACCAGCCCTCTGTCCTGATTTCCGGATTGGTCTCTGCTCGTGCCCACCCGGTCACCCCCTCAAAGCCTCTTACAGGAGGAACCGCTTTTCAGCATTCAACATATCTGGGGCAGATTAGTTTTGGGTTCGATCAGAGCAGCCAACAAGTGGCCCTCAATGCCTTTCTTGGCAGCCCTCAGCAACCTTGGAGGCACCCCTACACACCTGTAGGCCTTGCACCGCCTTCCCAAAGCTGGGTAAGGAGGTGCTGGGCTTGGGGAAGGAGGCAGGTGTGATCTGTCAGGGTCCTAGAGTCCTCAGTTAGCTCTTTCCCACCTTTGGCAAGAAGGTGGGAAGGCGCTAGGTCCCATCAGAGCCTCGTGCCTCCTTCCCAAAACCCAGCACCTCACCTGCCTACCTTTGGGAAGGCAGCATGCAGGCTGGGGCGTGTGTGTCAAATGTTGGCCTTGCTCTCCTCTCCCACATGACAAGTCAGTGTGCGGCCCACAGGTTCTGTGCTGAACTACTCTTGTGGCCCACTTGGTATCAGAAATTGGAGCACCCTGGTTTAGATGGTGCATATTCCTGCTCTGGCGCCTTTGGGTGAGGGGTGGATTACAAATACTTCCAGTGTATAAATGATGCATTTTAATGTAGTTGGGTGTTTAATGAAGCCAAGAACTGTATCACAAGATTCGAAAATGTCAGAATGCAAGGCATCCTTGCATTGCAAGCTGCACATGAGTCTGGGAGGTGTGGTCTGGTCAGTTCACATCAGAATCCACAGAAATATCGTTCTTCAAACCACCCCTATTATTATCCGGGATGAAAGGATCTGTTCAAATTGGTTCTCTAAGTGTCTCATTTCCCCACTCTTGAATTTGGTTCCCCACATTTTGCAGCAATCTGCTTACAGAATCACATTTATCCTCCGTAGCTTAATGGTTGCCATCAATTTCATTTTAATTGATTGTAATTAATTTTTATAATGAAATGTTTTTAGAATGTTGTACTATTTTATTGTTGTTAGCCGCCCTGAGCCCGGCTTTGGCTGGGGAGGGCGGGATATAAATAAAATTTATTATTATTATTATCACTAATTGCAATCAAGAAAACGACATGTTTGACGTGCCTCATTCTCCCTAGGGAATTTCTGAGGCTATCGGTGTGGCTTCAAGCACCCATATTTCCCAGGTGCTGATGGCAGTGCGGGATTTTGGCCGCGCAGCCATTGCAAGGAAGACTGAGACGTCTGAGGTAAGGGTGTGAAGTGAGGAAGGAGCATAGCAAGAGTGTAGGTCAGCCACCCCCAGCCTGGTGCCCCTTCCCCATCCGTGTGTTTTGATGTGGAACTCCCATCAGCCCCTGACAGCATGGCCAATGGTTAGACAAAGGTCCTGGCAAATTGGATCCTTAGCGGCTATTTACATCCACACCAAAGCATGTGAAGCAGCCTCTGGGTTCCTCTGATCTAGGAAAACAGAGCTGTGTTGGAAAAGAACAAATCCTGCCCCATTTCCAAATATGCTCTTTTTCAAGGGATGGGATCCTTACCATTCCAAAAAGGCAATTAGATCTGCTCATCCTCTCAGTATGGAAGCCAGACAACTTCCTCTGTGGGTATGTCTCAGTCATCCTTCTGAAGTGGGCTCCAGCAGTCCTGTCTCTGTGGCTCCAGATCCTAGATCTGGTCTGATCCCTTGGCTCACTCAGTCAGTCAAACGGAATCGTTAGAAACCATTGGTCATCCCCAGAGTATACGCAATACAAAAGTACACTGACCCCTGTTTTTAGGTTGGTTGTCAGATGGTTGGTTGGCATTTCTTCAATAGTGGAAGCTAATGGGGGACCCCAAACGTCATCTAGTCCAACCCCCTCCAATGCAGGAATCTCAGCTCAAGCATCCCTGAGAGATGGCCATCCAACCTCCAACGAAGGAGAGTCCACAACCTCCCAAGGGAGAGTGTTCTGCTGTCAGAAAGCTTTGAATGAAAACCGTCTTAGAGTTTGGAAGAGGGGACACCTCTCCAACTGAGGGGAGGGAGCAGAATCCAAGAGAGAAGGCAGTCGGCAGGCTGGGAGAGGCAGAGAGAAAGAGGGGAGAGGTTTCAGCTGCATCCCGGGGCAGGGCAGCTGCCCAAGTTGCTCTCGTGCAAGGGTTCTTCTGCTTACGGGAGTGCCTGCTGGCCCCATTCAACTATGTTCTAGAGTAGACCCATTGAATTTAATGAAGATGACTAAGTTAGGCCCATTCATTTCGACAGGTCTACTTGAAGCAAAGCATAGTTGAGTGTCACTCTCTGTGTTCATCTCCATATATTTGTCAATTAAGCAAATTATTACAAAGGCATAGTAACTGCGTGCGGATCTAACACTTCCATAACCTGAGGGGGCCCTGGGGTCATGTGCCCCCGACTCTCCAATTCTCCAACCCAGCTGGAAGGGGATCAGAACCTTTTCCTTCCACTTTCAGTTAACTTCCCTCAAGCTTCTGGTCTCCGTTTTGCAACTGTGCTAGAGGAGAAGGGAGCAGGAGCCGATGAGTCCAAGGCTCATTCACACAATAATAAACCATAGTTTATCACAGAGGTAACCAAAATGGGGCCCTTCAGATGCTACAGACTGCAACTCCCATCCTTCCTGACCACTGGCCATGCTGGCTGAGGCTGATGGGAGCTAGAGGCCAACCTATGTTGATGCCCTCTGGTTTATTGTTACATCTGAACGCAGCCCTGAACTCTCTTGTGCTCTGCCATCCAAGAGAAGTGAAACCCAGGAGTGTGGTACCTCTGGATTTTTGCTGTGAGTTGGGAAATGACCAAGGAAATTTCCCAACCCTCACTATGGAGAAGATGAGCAGATCCACCTGGTTCATTTTAATTTTAAAAAAGCAGCTCCCATGGAAAAGAGCACCAGTGGTCAGCCTACCCTACAGTGTCCTGCACTTTCTCCCTGGTTGACTGACCGAACCCAAAGAGAACACCTTCATGGTTCCTCGTCATCCTGGGGAAAAAGTGACCAGTGGGGTGTCACAGGGTTCTGTCTTGGGCCCGTTGTTGTTTCACGTTTTTTAAAAATAAATGACTTGGATGAAGGAATTGAGGGGATGCTCATCAAATTTGCAGATGACACCAAACTGGGAAGGGTAGCCAATGCCACAGAAGACAGAATCGGGATTCAAGATAACCTTAACAGATTGGAGAACTGGGCCCAAACTAACAAAATGAAATTCAATAGGGTCAAATGTCAGGCTCTACATTTAGGCAGGAAGAACCTGATGCACATATATAGGGTGGGGGAGCCCTGGCTTGCCAGCAGTTTGAGTTTCCTGGAGGAAAAAAAAATACAAAATTTGTAAGTCTGCACAACAACTTGTTGTTGTTGCTTAGTCGTTTAGTCGTGTCCGACTCTTCGTGACCCCCTGGACCAGAGCACGCCAGGCACTCCTGTCTTCCACTGCCTCCCACAGCTTGGTCAAACTCATGCTGGTAGCTTCGAGAACACTGTCCAGCCATCTCGTCCTCTGTTGTCCCCTTCTCCTTGTGCCCTCCACCTTTCACACAACAACTTACTGACTACTAATATTTTCCCAGCTGCTAAAAGGTCCCAACTAAATGGTGATTTGTTTCCAATTGCACTTAAGGTTCCCAAACTCACTTTCCCCATCCTTTCCCTCCAGAATACTAGCGAGACCAATGCCAGTATCACCGTCATCCTTTGCTGCGGGCAAATGGCATTCGGGGCACGGCAGGATGAGCTCCCCTTTTTTATAGACCTCATCACAGAGGAGCTCCTCTTCCAATTCCAGAACAGCAGGAAGGTATGGCTCTGATTATCACACGGACTCCTGTTGTTTGTTCTCTCAGCTATACCATACTTTTCCGTGTATAAGACAAGGTGTTTTTTATTATTATTAAAAAATGATGTTTAAAAATGAAGGTCATCTTATACACAGATAGTGCATAGGGGGGACGTGGGTTTGGTTGCCGCTGCAAGCCGGAGATAGTCAGTGGCTATTGTGCGTGTTATTAGTGGCTGCGGCAAGGGGTGGTGTTGACTGGCTGTCGCTGCGGAAATTGGGAAGGCGATTGGCGGTTTCTGCCGGCGAGGGACAGACAATAGGTGGGTTTTGCGACGTGTGTGAGTGGCAGCATAGGTCCAGCGAGTGAGCAATTTTTGGAATCCCCTTCCCCCAAATAGCTGAACAACTGTGGGTAATCCTCCCCCCCAAAAGCTCAGCAACTCTGGGCAATCCTCCCCCCCATTTTCTTAATTTGGAGTCCCCCCTAATAGGGGGTGTCTTATACACGAAAAAATATGGTATATCCTGCCTTTCTCCTGTCATATGACTCCAGGAGCCAGGAGGTGTGCAACCATTTCCCCCGTGGTCACCATCCAGGCACTGAGCAGACCTCCTGAGCTCCGTCAAGGTCCTTGCACCACATGCCTTCAGACTGTGCCCTAGGGCAGGGTCTTTGGCTTCATCCACCGAAGGGTTGTAGACTGGGGTGTATACTGGCTCCACCCTTAGGACCAGATGGGGCATTACAGTGGTACCTTGGTTCTCAAACTTGATCCATTCTGAAACCAAAGCTGCTTCCAAACCAAGGCATGCTTTCCCATAGAAAGTAATGCAAAATGGATTAATTCTTTCCAGACTTTTTTTAAAGAAACCCTAAAACAGCAATTTAACATGAATTTAACTATCTAACAAGACCATTTCTGGGTTAGGGTTAATTTTTGGATTGGGTTAGTGTTAGGGTAAGGATTAGAATTAGGGTTAGGGGCAGTGTGGCTTTATGTTTCCTTGTGATTTTGATTCAAACTCAATTTTATAAAATCCCTTCTCCTTTCAGAACGAGGCTTTGCAGAAGAGCTTTATGAAGGCAGCAACTCTAACAACCAAGGCGCTTGTGCAATCGATTGCGGGATATGTCACCTTCCCCCACAAAGAGGAGCTCACCTTCTGCATCATAGTGAGGAAAAAGAAAAAGAAAAAAAGAGGGGGAATGTCCTGGGGTTTCTTTTCAGAGCGTTTTTTCTTAAAAATAGCTGTGTAGGTCTAGCTCTGGGTTGCATGTTCTGACCATCTGGCCCCAAACCATTTCTGGTGGTCACGTTCTGCTCCAGCTCAAGTTTCCAAACCCTCTTGAAAGGCAGCCCTACATTGTGGCAACCTCAGCAGGCTGTCACCAGCGCCTATGTAAAAGAGGCTAGGTTCTCCCAGGAGGAGAGGGCTGTCGATGGCTCCCAGCCATGATTGCTATGTTCTACCTCCACAGAGGAAGAAAGCAATGTTTCTGAATATAGTTGCTGGAAGCCACAGGCAGGGAGAGGGCTCTTGGGCTCATGGTCTGCTCCCTGGTTTCTCACAGACGTCTGGTTGGCCACTGTGAGAATGCTGTGAGGATGCTGGACTAGATGGGCCCTTGGCCTGGTCCAGAAGACTGATCTTATGCCGTTCTTATGCAGTAGAGCTCTGCCCAGGAGAAAAAGGGATCTTATTCCCAGATCCAGGAAGCCCACTCTTTTCCTCTAGGAGGACCCACTTGCCAATTGCAAAGAAGTTGTCAAGTGGGCTGGATAGAGAGCACAACTCAGGGCTTGGTGTGGTGGTGGCAGGGATGGCACCTCCAGTTCCCTGACATGCTGTGTGCTTCCCCACCACAGGAGGTTATCAAAGAGGAGCCGATGGCATCGCTCACCATCCTGCACCAGGCGATGGAAACTATCATTCACATGACGTAAGTACGGCCAGACACAGTACATATTTCTTCACCAGGTTTATGGACTGCTGGGTGCTGATCCTTTCCTCTCCCCTTCTTTCTCTTTTCAGTGCCTTGAGACCACGCATGGACCCCCTGCTCCGGTCTCAGCTGCTACAGAAAACCACCAGAAAGGTCTTCCAATTGCCATCATTGCAGGTTACGAAGGTCAAAGCCGGGAGCTCTGTGCCAGCAACACAGAGCCAGGTGACTGGACCTTCTGCTTCTGGAGGAAAATGGGGTTGCCAGGTTAAAGGATTTGAGGGCAAAGAGTCTGAGCCGTGTAAGCTGCAAAGAATGCTGCCCGAGACACTTGACCCATCACAATGATGTAACAACCAGAGACTTTGGGTGTATATATTTTTTTTTTTTTAAGAATATTTATTCAAGTTTTAAAATTACAAAAAAGAAAGAAAAAACAAAACAAGAAAACCAGTCACATACATCTTACAAAAAATACACACCATACAAGAAAAAAAAAGAAAAAAGGAAAAAATACACAAAATCAAAAATCACAATAAAGAAATAACAAGAAAAAAAGAATTCAAATTTAACAAACCGTTTTCCCATTTACTTATTTCCGTGACTTCCTCTCACTTCTCTGCTTTGTATTCTAATTCAAATTGTATCTCCAGCAAATCCTTCTAACCTTCTTTTCATTCACTTATTTTAACATTTTAACATTCAAAAATATTTAATTCTCCTCTATCCTTTAGTTTACACTTTATATTTACTTAATTCCATTATACTCTGTCTGCCAATACGGTCTAATATTTCTTCTCCAACCTTTCCTAACATTCATTTATGTTACAGTAATTCTGTAAATATATTTTAAACTTTTTCCAATCTTGTTCCATCAACCCTTCTTCTTGGTCTCGAATTCTTCCAGTCATCTCAGCCAGTTCCATATAGTCTATCACTTTTCTCTGCCATTCTTCTCGGGTAGGCAATTCTTGTGTCTTCCAATATTTCCCGATGAGTATTCTTGCTGCTGCTGTCGCATACATAAAAAAAGTTCTATCTTCCCTTCGCACCAATTGGCCGACCATGCCCAAGAGGAAGGCCTCTGGTTTCTTTAAGAAAGTATATTTCAATACCTTTTTTAATTCATTGTATATCATTTCCCAGAATGCCTTGATCTTTGGGCACGTCCACCAAAGGTGAAAGAAAGTACCTTCGTTTTCTTTACATTTCCAACACTTATTATCAGGCAAGTGATAAATTTTTGCTAGCTTGACTGGGGTTAAGTACCACCTGTAAATCATTTTCATTATGTTTTCTCTTAAAGCATTACAAGCCGTAAATTTCATACCTGTGGTCCATAACCGTTCCCAGTCAGCAAACATAATGTTATGCCCAACATCCTGCGCCCATTTAATCATAACAGATTTAACCATTTCATCCTGTGTATTCCATTTCAGCAGCAAATTATACATTTTTGACAAATTTTTAGTTTTAGGTTCTAACAATTCCGTTTCCAGTTTGGATTTTTCCTCCTGGAAGCCAATCTTTTTATCTAAGTTAAAAACCTCCCTTATTTGATAATAGTGCAACCAATCTCTGACTTTGGTTTTTAATTTGTCAAAATTCTGCAATTTTAATTTATCTCCAACTTGTTCTAAAATTTCACAATATTTTGGCCAGTTTGTCTCCATATTGGTTTTTTTCAATGCCTTTGCCTCCATTGGTGATAGCCACCTTGGTGTTTTACTTTCCAACAAGTCCTTATATCTCACCCAAACATTAAACAATGCTTTCCTGACAATATGGTTCTTAAAGGCCTTATGCGCTTTAACTTTATCATACCATAAATATGCATGCCATCCAAAAACGTTGTCAAAACCTTCTAAATCCAAAATGTCCACGTTTTCAAGAAGTAGCCAATCTTTCAGCCAGCAAAAGCGGCTGATTCATAGTAAAGTTTAAGATCTGGCAGGGCAAATCCCCCTCTTTCCTTTGCATCTGTTAATATCTTAAATTTTATTCTAGGTTTTTTGCCCTGCCAGATAAATTTGGAAATGTCTCTTTGCCACCTCTTGAAACAGTCCATTTTATCCACAATTTGTAATGTTTGAAACAAGAACAACATTCTAGGCAATACATTCATCTTTATCGCAGCAATTCGGCCAAGCAATGATAACTTCAATTTTGACCATATTTCTAGATCTTTCTTCACCTCTGACCAACATTTTTCATAATTATCTTTAAACAAATTCACATTTTTAGCAGTCATGTTCACCCCTAAATATTTCACTTTGTTAACAATTGTTAATCCTGTCTCTTTCTGGAATCTCTCCTTCTCTATCTCTGTAAGATTTTTCTCTAATACCTTGGTTTTCATCTTATTTAATTTAAAACCAGCTACTTGACCAAATTCTTGTATTAATTGTAACACCCTTTTGTGCTAGCTTCTGGCTCCTGTACTGTCAAAACTAAATCATCAGCAAAAGCTTTCAATTTATACTGTTTAGCTCCGAGTTGTATACCTTTAACCAATTGGTCTTTTCTAATCATATTGAGCAGAACCTCAAGGACCGATATGAAAAGCAATGGGGAGATTGGGCAACCCTGTCTTGTTCCTTTCTCTATCTTAAATTCTTCTGTAACTACATTGTTCACAATAAGCTTAGCTTTTTGTTCCGAGTAAATTGCACCTATACCATTTTCGAAACTTTGGCCTACCCCCATCCCCTGCAAATTTTTCTTCATAAAACTCCAAGAAATATTATCAAACGCTTTCTCTGCATCCACAAATATTAAAACAGCTTTAGTGTTAATATTAACTTGCAGTTTTTCCAAAATGTTAATGATGTTCCTAGTGTTGTCTGACAAATGTCTTCCAGGCAGAAAACCCGCCTGGTCTTTATGAATCTCTTTTACCAATACATTTTTTAATCTCTTAGCCATAATTTCAGCAAAAATTTTGTAATCCACGTTTAGCAGGGATATGGGACGGTAGTTCTTCAACTGTGTCTTCTCCCCCTCGGTTTTTGGTATAAGTGTAATGTACGCTTCTTTCCACGACTCGGGTGCTCTTCCTCCCCGTAGTATTTCATTACAAAGTTCTTTCAACGGTTGCAATAGCCATTCTTTCAAAGTTTTGTAATACTTTGCAGTTAGTCCATCTGGCCCTGGGGATTTGCCCAATTTCATATTCAGAATGGCTCCTTCCACTTCTTGATCAGATATAGTCGAATTTAATATTGATTTACTGTCCTGAGATATTTTTTGTAATCCATTATTTTCCAAAAATCTGTCAATATCTAAATCTTTCTGAGCCTCCTGCGTATATAGCTGTTTGAAATAATTCTGAAAGCACTTCCGAATCTCTCCAGGATTCTGTATGTTCTTTCCTTCTACAACCAAGTTTGTAATTGTATTCAGCTTTTGTCTTTTCTTCATTTGCCAGGCCAATAACTTCCCACATTTATTTGCCGATTCGAAGGTCTTTTGTTTCATCTGTTGAATCTTCCATTCTATCTCCTGATTCATCAATTTCATATACTGTACTTGGTATAGCTTTATTTCTTTTAAAATCTCCTGTGAGTTCGGTTTCGCTCTCAGTCTTTTTTCTCCATCCTTTATTTTCTCCAGAATTTTTTCTCTCTTCTCATTTTGGTATCTTTTCCTAATTGCATTTTGTTGTATCAAAAATCCTCTCATCACCGCTTTACTAGCATCCCAAATCACTCTTTTTTCTGTCGTCGTGTTCAAATTTATTTCGAAATAGTCTCTCAGGTTTTTTTGAGCCTTTTTAACAATTTCTTCATTCCTAAATAAGGAGTCATTCATCCTCCATCTAAAGGCCCCAATTGGCGTTAATGTCATTTCAATCTTTACTGGATTGTGATCGGAGCAGGTTTTCGGACAAATCACTGCTTTTTTGATTTTAGGAGCCAGTCCTCTAGTTATCCAGATTTGGTCTATTCTTGTCCATGTCATATTTGCTTCAGAGAAGAAGGTTCCTTCTCTTTCCAAGGGGTTCTTTGTTCGCCAAATATCTAGCAGATCCATATTGTCAGTCATTTCAAAGAATGTCTTTGGTAATCTTCCGTCTTTTGTCACTGTTTGTCTTTGGGCCTTGTCCATATTTGTAGACACTACTCCATTCATATCTCCCATCAAAATAATATTGTAATCCAAATAGTCCAGAAGAGTTTCATGCAATTTCTTAAAGAATTCTGATTTTCCCTCATTTGGTGCATATACTCCTAATATCAAAAATTTCTGTCCTTGGAATTGAATTTCGATTGCTATGTATCTTCCTTGATCATCTTTAAATATGAATTTTGGTGACAGGCTTTCCTTCGCATAAAGTATTACCCCTCTTTTTTTAACATTGTCCGATGAAATAAATTCCTCTCCCAATCTTTTATTTATCAGAATTTTCCGATGCAGCCTTGTCACATGAGTCTCTTGTAAACAGATCAAGTCCAAATGTTCTTTTTCAATGTATGAAATACTCTTCCCCTTTTAGCCGACGAATTTAGACCATTAATGTTCCAACTTAGAATTTGTAGTGTCATTTTGTAGCTACTCTCCTTCTCCTCCAGCAGCCCCAAGAAGATTTTCTATGTCTGTCGGTGGCGTTGGTTTCCCTTTTTTTTCCTGCTTTTTGTCCGGTATCGCAATGTCTTTTCCCAATCCTTTCAGTAGATCTTCTTCATATGCACTCAGGAACTTGTTCTTTTCCTCCACTGATCTGATCTTGGTCTTTCTTCCCTTGAAACTAAAAGATAGGCCTTGGGGAAATTCCCACCTGAAAAGAATTTTATTTTTTCTCAACAAGTCTACCAGATCCCCAAAATCCTTTCTCAGATCAAGAAGGTGTTTTGGTATATCTTTGAAAATTTCAACTTTTGATTGTATAATTGTCAAGGGTTTTTCGTAATGCAAACCCAAAATTTTGTCCCTTTCTTCCTTTGATCGAAGGGTGATCAAACAATCCCTTATTTTAATCTTTCTTCCTCCTTTCCCCAATCGAAAGGCTCTCACAATCTTAAAGTCCTCTTGTTTCAATTCCGATTTCCAAAAGTCCAAAAATTCCTGTGTCAAAAAGTCTATCAAGGTACCTTTCTCCAGCTCAGGAACAGCTCTGATTCTGAGATTCGTCTGTTTGTCTCTAAGGTCTATCATAGATAGCGTTAGCTTATGTTCTGCAATCTCTTTCTGTATATCTGGTACTTTCTCAGTTTCCAGCTGCCCCAGTTTAAACTCAACAGCAGCAGTTTTTTCCTGTATTGACTTTGAATCTTGCAACAATTTCTGGATAGACTCCGTGTTGCTATTTACTTTTTCTCCAATTTGCCTAATGTTTCTGTATTTAGGTCAATTTTCCTGTTTGCAACATCCACTTTCTGGCCAGTCTCTTCCACCCTCCTGTTCGTCTCTTCCACTTTTGTAGAAAGCTGCTGTATTGAATCATTAATCTTAGAGAGAGCACTAACTAAAAATTCCTCAGACATTCCACCAATCTTAGATTGTGTTGCCGGTGTCGGCAGACCAGCAGATGATTGCCTTCTATGTGTCCAAGGTTTCCCTGATCTCAAGGTTGACTGGTCTTTAAACCCATCAGCCATAACAAAGTGAAGGTCAGGTTACTTTCCCACGTCCACTCTTCCTGTTTATACTTGGGAAATTCCTTTCCTTTCTAGCAGTTACAGAAAGTTCCACTAGATGGACACTGTTGCCACTTAACAAGTTACTGTCTTTAAAACGGCAAGGGAAAGATACTCAGTAAGAGGGGAAAAAAAAGAGTCCAAAGTAAAAGTTACAATATAACTTTTCAGTCCTTTCCAATCTTTCTCAGTGAAACTGGCCACTCTGTATCTCCTTTACAGCCAGCAGACTGCTTTAGCGATTTTGACAGCTTTGACAGCTGGGTGACAGATCACTCCTTTAATCTTTCAATCTAAAAAATCCTATAAAATCAAGAGTCTTTCCCTTAATCCTCTTAAGGGTAGATCCCTCCAAAGTCTCAGGTTAGAAGATTACATTTATTTCAATTCAATTCTTCACGTTTAGCTTCAAATCTCTTTGCTTTGTTCTTTACACAACGCAGTGAAGCCGACTTCCTGTTTAAGCTTCCACCGCAGTAGCCAATTCAGTCATTTTTAAAGTCTTTAAACTTTTCCACTTTTTGCCCAAGTTCCAAATTAGTCCAAATTCTAGTCTTTTTATCCAATTCCTCTACTCACGGTTAGTTTTTAAGTCCGAATTTCTCAGGAATAAGTCAGCGCTCTCCAGCAACGGCAACGCGGCTTCACTCAGCGGGAGCAGCGATCCGCTCGCAGCACCGCGCTTCTCTCCCCGCTCCCTTACGAAGCCCCAAAAGGCTTCTTTTCAGGTGGGGGCGCTCAAGGTGCCCGCCGAGCCTCCACGTTCGTAGGCGTCCGCGCCTACGATTTCTGAGGGTCCCCGCTTCGCCGGAGCGCACAGGACCCGATCTCCCGCCGAGCTACCCCCTCCGAATCTTCAAAGGAGGTCAGCCATTGCTGCTGGCACCAACCGGAAGTCCTTTGGGTGTATATTTTTGATTTTAATCATGTTTCCATATTTATTGCATTTCACCTTTGGCTAGAATGCATCCACAAATGATTCCTGCATGCCTGCATTTTGTGACTCTCATGCCTCCCTCCTACGCTGCATTTAATTTTATTTGTTTGCTTGTTTGTTTATATGCTGCCCATCTGACTGGGTTAGTCTAGCCACTCTGGGCGGCTTCCAACAAATTAAAACACAGCCAGACATCAAATATTTAAAACTTCCCTATGCAGGGCTGCCTTCAGATGTCTTCAGACGGAAGTATAATGATGTATCTCTCTGACATCTGATAGGAGGGTGTTCCACGGGGTGGGCCCCACCACCAAGGCGGCCCTCCGCCTTGGAACACCCCAAGGAAGTTGAGCCCAGTGTGGAGTCCTGTATCTTTATATCGCATGACCTGTAACCTTACATACATCAAGAAACGTTTGATGTTTATGACTCTTTGTGTGCCGTGCTTGAACCCCTGCATAAGCTTTGTTACGAATTTGGACTAGAAGGCTCCAGAGCATATGGGATTTCCATGGGAGTCTTCAGCTTCTAAGTGCTTTTGCTTTTCTCCTTCCAGGACTGTTATCAAGAGACCATCTACATCTGGCTCAACATGCTCACCAGCTTGCTGTCGGAGGCCCCTCTCTGGAGACGCTGCAGGAGATATTAGTGGTAAGGAGCCCCCAAGGTGTCAGAGCAGGGGAACCAGCAGCTCCCATGCCGGAGGACAGACCCTCTTGAAATGATTGCACGGGGGGCATCTGTGGCCAACTCGCTGGTTGTGGGTGCTGATGGTCAAGTGGGCCTCTGTTCTGCTAGCAATGCTTGTGCAAGGCACACAAGATATGTCCTCTGCTGATGGCGTATGGGGAAGGGCCGTGGC